AACTAATTCCATGTCTAAATAATTAAACTTATCGTAAGTTGTACCATTGTTGGCTCTGATCATCATCATCTTGGAAACAAGCATCAGAATTTGAGACTTTTATCATCATCATCCTCTTGGAAACAAGGATTTGATTTTGAGACTTTTGAAACGAAAGACCTGGCTCAATTTTGACTCCATGAAGCTGATTGAGGTTAGGGGAAATGAATGATGAGAAGAGAAGTCTGATGAGTTCAACCACATTAACCGATTGAATGAAAGAGAAGGCTAAATTAGCTATTTATATATTTTCAGTTTTGACTCCGTTAGCTTTGTGTATATGTTGTGCATCATCATCAATGTAGAATCTTATGTGTGTGCATCGGATCCTACACCAAGAGGGTTTGAAAGAAAGAGTCTCCACTGAACCGATTAAATTACAATTTAATTTAGTAAGAACAAGCCTCGCTTATGGTGGTATGACGGCAAGTTTAATTGTTTAGGGTTAGCTGCAGGGCTTTTGATTAATTAGGTTTTTAAATTTTTTTCCTAAAATAAATTAACTAAATTATAATCCAAGTTGGAATTGATTAATTATATAGCACGAGTCACATTATTTGGGACTTAAATTTGGTGCACAAATTTGATGTCCCTAAGATTGTCCGAAGATTTAAATGTATAATTATTAGATCCCAACATTACATCATTAAAGTGTTAAGTAAAAGGCTCCACAATAGTAACAAAATTACCTTTTCTCTGGAGAGCATGCATTTCTTTTATGATTGTAAGATGCTTTTCCTTTTAATGATATGTGTGAATGGCATCCGTTCTTTCCATTTTTCCCCCTTGACCATCCTGTACAACTTTAATTTAGTCTTCAAAGATATATTTTCGCCATCCACAAAAACAAGTGAAAGTTCAACTCAAATGAATCTCTATATTGAAAAAGGCATGATAAAAATAATTAATGAACAAATGCGCACACTTTGGAATTGTATTAATTCATGAAATTAATTAAAGGTTTCACTAATTGACACATCAATTTTCGTCCCCATCTCTCACACTGGTGCTTGGACCATGCCTACCGTTATAACGCCGAGCCACCCACAAATACACCAAGAAATTAACCCCATTGATGGCTGTCAATATCCAATAAAAGTAATCAAGCTTGCCCATGTTCAAGTCGTGCCTCAACCACCCTTGTTCTTCTCCACCAGTCGCACTGTCTATGATCTTAACAAGCGCAGTGCTTAACCAACTCCCGATCCCAATCTCACTCAAAAACATTGCACTGCTTATGCTTCTCGTACCATCCGTGGCTTCATCGTAGAAAAACTCCAACTGTCCCACGTACGTAAAAACCTCAGCGGTGCCGATGAGAAAGAACTGAGGAAGCAACCAAAACACACTCATCTTGCTCAACGGGTTTAAGTGGTCTCGGCGTTTCTTCTCAACCAAGGCAGCTGAGCCCAGGGCAAAGATTGAGACAAAGAGCCCGACCCCAATTCTTTGTAGCGATGTGAGGCCACGTGGGTGGCCCGTGCGTCTCCGGATGGTCGGAACCATCCATTTTTCGTAGATGGGGACGAGGATGAGGGCGTTGATTGCGGCGAATACGGGGACGGAACCTGCGGGGATTTCAAAGTTGGGGCCGAGGTGGCGGTTGGTTTTGTTGGCTTGGCTGACGAAGAAGGTGGAGAGTTGAGAGAATGAGATGGAGAGGGCTATGGTTGATGTCCATACGGGGAGGACTCTTATGAAGCATTTGAATTCTTCTACTTGGGTCACTGTGCATAGCATCCAACGACTCTTTGGGCTGCCCTCTGGGTCTGTCACCACCGCTGCTTTGTCCAAAAACCTTCACGAAAAGAAACACCTTTATTTCAAGCTTTGGACAAAACAAAGAACTTCATATAATATGCATATTGCTATATAAACGAGGCAGATATAATTATATATAGACTTACCTATATTGTGTAGAGTGAGGTAGCTTTCGGGCACCCAAGATATCAGACTGGTTGGTCTTAACCTCATACAGATCAGCTTCACGAACCACCTCAACCCCATTAAAATGGTTCCTCGCTGAGGCCACAGCCACCTGAATAAACCTAGTGAAAGGGCTGCCCATGGGCTTTTGATAACGATAATATGGAACACCAGCGGCTAAGATGGCAATGGAGCAGATCATGGCCATCGTTGGAATTCCAAATCCCCAAGTCCACCCTTTGTTATCTTGTATGTAAACCAACACCGTAATTCCCAACAGCGCGCCTATGTTTATGGCAAAGAAGAACCAGTTAAAGAAGGCGTATTTGGTTTGGACTTCTCTTGAATCAGCCTCGTCGAATTGATCAGCTCCGAAGGATGAGACGCACGGCTTGATGCCACCGGTTCCGAGAGCTATGAGGCCGAGTGCGCCGTAGAGGAAGGCAGTTTGGCCGTCGGTTGCCTTGTTGCATGGCCGGGTCGTGCATGGCGGTGGACGTAGGCTGTCTATGGAGGCGGATAGTGTCAACAAGACCATTCCCTGTATGTAATAATACGTATGCAAAGCAAAGTCATAAAAAACAAGCAACATCATTCATATGGGCTTTGTCTGGATAACAAGCAGTCCACTTTAGATATCCAAGAAGGCTTGTGGGCCCAATGATCCAAAATCAAAGTGGTGTTACAAATGACAATGCATTTTGCATACCACGGCGTAGACACATGAGAAAATGATGATGGTTTTGAAGCGGCCCAAGTAAGCATCAGCTAAAAAGGCTCCAACAAGTGTGAGAACATAGGCAGCTCCAATCCAATCTGTGACATGGGTGGCTGCACGTGGTAGCGATTGCCGCATTTCAAACACCAAGTAAGCCACCATGTTCACCGCAACGGCAAAAAATGCCAGCCTCTCAGCTACCTCATTCACTGCATGCATTCCATTAATCAGGCAACATAAAGATATGATACATACATACAATTAATGAACATAAATTTGCAATGTTATCAGAGTACGTAATTACCTATGATAAATGGAGAGGCCTTCCATCCTCCAGTTTTTTTCTTGTCTGCAACTTTTCCATGGAAGTCCACACGTCCATTGCTTACCAAACTAGTGGATAGGCTCTCTTCCTACATGTTGATATATCAGTTAGTTAGAGAAAATAAAACTCTACTCATATCATATGTTGCTCTTGCTAGCTAGTTTGGCTTTGGATCAAGATTGTGAATTACCTTCTCGAAGACTTGGTCAAAATCTTCAAATTTTTCCATGGAGGGCTGAATGAAGGACTTGTCATATGGATCACCTGCAGCTGATTTTGGTTGCTCCATTGAGACTATGCTATTTGCAAAAGGAGCTGGCTAGGAGATTTATTCAAGCTAACTACGTGCGGGAACCAATTTAAATAAGCTCGCGGCTGTCATTGCAAAAGAAGACTTTGACCTACCTTCATGAATTGGCCCTTCTTACAGTAATTTTGTGCTGTTTTTAAGTGTTTGTCGGGAGCGGCACTGGAAATTTTTAAATTAAAAATATCTCCGAGTTGGGAGATTGAGCAAAGTGTTGCATAATAAGGCAAGTTGTTGGAGGAGGTTACAATGTTGCTATTGTGTACACAACCTAAAAGGCGACGAAAGGGGAGGGAGATGCAGGAACTAGTCTCACTGCAGTGCCGCCTAAGCACTTGTTCAAGCGAAATGGACAAAGACTAGATTAGATTGTGTCCTCCATATGGCACATTACATAACATTTACACACTACTCTCCTCAATTCCCCAAACTTGAGAATGATGAAAAACCAAAGTGCATAGGAAGGAACCAACCCAATTCCCCTAATCACCGAGTCTGAGTGTGTGAAGAGATTATATTGGGGGAAATTTATAAATGACGAATAAATTTCTTTCAACACAATTTTCATCAATATTCATGGAAGATAAAGATTTTATAGTAAATTTTTTTTTTTTTTCACTTTACACTAGGTTTTTTCTTACCTACAATATTGTAGCTAGTGTGAGTTTTTTTAGTAGTGAATCCATCATCTTATCTACCTAATTACGCTTAAAATCCGGTTTACCCATAATGAGTTTACCCTGTTATGTGCGCATTCTATATATTATGGAATAATAGATAATATACCTAATACAAATTTATAGGATATTATAATTTATCTATCTTTTTTTTGGGTAGGATACCTAACCTTTCGTGAATATATACAAGATATTATTATTATTATTATTCTTTCTTTAGTATCAAGGTAGGTAAATCATTGTTCTTTTTGAAGGAAACATAATCTCTAAAATTGAGAAAATAAATTCCATTCAATGTTAAAAAGAACCATAATTATTGATAGACTATAAATTATGGACTGTAAATTAGGAAACAAGCGTAACATTCGTTCAAAAAATCTTGAAGTGTATATGGCATAGATTGCAATTCAGGTGTATATTATTAGGATAAATATTATCTTACATGGTAACATATTTTAAATTGGAATTTTTGTTGGAAGTAAAAAAAAAAAAGGTTCAATTGTAGATATGGATTTAGACAAGTTGGTGCAGATGTGATTCCCACTCTGCGCCCGAGTTCGAATCCCCCTCCCCGTATTTTAGTTTAGTATAAAGTAGATTATCGCTTACATAAAAAATAAATAAATTTATGTCTACAATATAATAGTTGCATTACATGGACATTTCCCTTAAGAACCCAAGATTTTATTATAAAGTTTGATACCATATGCCCAAAAACTTGAGATTTTTGGTGATAGAAATTTCATGTGATTTGGATATGCAAATGGCAGCCCAAAATCATGAGTTGCCTTAGCCTATGGCTAAAAACTTATGTGAAGTCGTTAGCCACGGCCCATTTGATGGAAACCAACAAACTCGCAAACAGCAATCATAGAGTCCAGAGAGGAGGTGCATATTCGATTCCAACAAGTGAATATGCCATGAATCATTATGTAATGTTGTGTTGACAAAGAATTTTCTGATTGGAAGTACAAATGGCAGGCACTCTTGTGCTTTTGACTGACGGTTGGCCACTCTGGCCTACGTGTCCACAACACCAGTCAATCATCTGCAATCCGTACACTCACTCCTCCTCCTCTTCCTGACTTGAGTTACAGTGTTTCTGATTACAGCCGGTTGCAACTTGCAATTGAGCAGGACAGGACTGCTGGTAATTGTATAAAATAAAAAGATCAGATTGTAACGAAAAATGGGCAATAGTTTTTAATTTTGTAGCTGGAACAATGAGGAAGGTAACAGGGAGATTGAACAGTGCTGGGCTTGTGGCTATGTTACTGGTTGTCCTGGAGGTCTGTGAGGGTGGGATAACAAGTAGTTATGTTAGAAATGATGACTTGTCCCTTGATATGCCTTTAGACAGTGATGTGTTCCAAGTGCCTCCCGGATATAATGCCCCTCAGCAGGTGTTTCTATAAACCATTCTTTTAAATACTGATTCAAAAACTCTTACGAATTGTTCAAGATTGCATGATTTGATTTTCTGATTTCTAAGTGTTATGATTTGTTCAAGGTTCATATAACACAAGGAGATCATGAGGGGAGGGGTGTGATTGTCTCTTGGGTCACTCCAGATGAACCTGGTTCAAGTACAGTGCTTTACTGGGCAGAAAATAATACCAACCTCAAAAACCAAGCTCAAGGCACTATTCTCACATACCACTACTTCAATTACACTTCTGGTTACATTCATCACTGCACCATTCTCAATTTGGAGGTAAGTAAAGTACCTGCCACTAGGCACTAGTCCCCCTCCCCCATATCATTCTTTAGTTTTTGAATTGGATTGAAGGTAGAGAGTTTAAATTGAATCGCCGCTGCAGTTTGGCACCAAATACTACTATGAAGTTGGGATTGGTAATACCACGCGGCGGTTTTGGTTCACAACCCCTCCTGGCGTTGGTCCTGATGTTGCTTATACTTTTGGCCTCATAGGTATTTCAAATTTCATCCATCTAAGTTTTCTTATTAGTTCCATTTTTAGTTGAAAGGTTGCTCTCCCTGCAGGCTGTACGCTTTGATATATAATGTACCATTGTACTGATACCAGATAAACACAATTTTATACAAAGCTGTTATGCTTGTGTTTTCTATCTTGTTCTCACTCTGGTGTGCATTTTGAGCAGGAGATCTTGGTCAAACTCACGATTCAAATCGAACACTTACCCATTATGAATTGAACCCAACAAAAGGGCAGACGGTATTGTTTGTTGGGGACCTCTCTTATGCAGATGATTATCCGTTTCATGACAATAACAGGTGGGATACATGGGGGAGGTTCACAGAGAGAAATGCTGCTTATCAACCCTGGATATGGACTGCAGGAAACCACGAAATCGATTTTGTTCCTGAACTTGTATGTTTCTTTTTCTTATTTGGTTCTTGAACTTATAATTTGAAAGAAAATGTGTAATTGCAATGTTATTGCAGGGTGAAAGCAAACCCTTCAAACCCTACACAAACCGGTATTTTGTTCCATACGAAGCCTCACATAGTACATCTCCTCTCTGGTACTCCATCAAGAGAGCTTCGGCATATATCATAGTCTTGTCCTCTTACTCCGCATATGGTATAAGAATGCTTGCTTCTCACTTCTATGTCATGTTTTTGTTTGTGAGTATAAATTGTACTTTAATTTTCAGGGAAATATACTCCTCAATACAAGTGGCTTGAAAAGGAGCTGCCAAAAGTGACAGAACAGAGACACCATGGCTTATTGTTCTTATGCATTCTCCACTATATAATAGTTATGCACATCACTATATGGAAGGAGAATCCATGAGAGTGATGTACGAGCAATGGTTTGTCAAGTACAAAGTAGACATTATCTTTGCTGGTCATGTTCATGCCTATGAAAGATCCGTAAGTGCAGATTCTCCTTATTACAATGGCACGCAGTGCTTTCAAATGACTGAAAAAAAATAAATTTGGATTTCTCAATAGTGTAACTCTAAAATCAAATATGTTCGCATTACAGGAGCGGGTATCAAATATTGCATACAACATTGTGAATGGACTGTGCAGCCCTATAAGTGACGAATCAGCGCCGGTTTACATAACCATTGGAGATGGAGGAAATCTAGAAGGATTGGTTACTGAGTAAGTATGAATGCTGCTAATTTGGAGGGAGCAGTCTTTTTTCTTATTAATAAAAAGTTTCTGAAAAACGTACTGGTTTTTCTTTTGTCTGCAGAATGACAGAACCGCAGCCAAGCTACTCAGCTTTCCGGGAAGCTAGCTTTGGTCATGGGATTTTCGACATAAAAAACAGAAGTCATGCATTTTTTAGTTGGCATCGGAATCAAGATGGGTATGCAGTAGAAGCTGATTCTCTATGGTTGAAAAACAGATACTGGAAATCTCTGGAAGAGCAGCTCCTAGCCGCAATATAATGTTATTTGATATGTAAAAGAGGTTTCATGTTATCATTATAGAATGAATGAAATCTTGCAAAGTTTGCTGTTGTCATTCTCATGCAATTCCAAAGATGAAGCAATTAGCTGCTCTGTTGTGTTTTATGTTGTCTGACACCACTTCCTTCAAAGTAGGGTAAAGGATAAAATTACGGCTCATCCATCAACTCCCCAATTGCAATAAATGCAGAAAAGTTTTGAGTCTTTGGTGATTGATGCCTTGTTTCAAAGCAGGCCCCGATTTGAAACACACAGAGAGAGAGAGAGAGAGAGAGAGAGAGAGAGAGATGAATTAATGTGACTTGTGTCTCAGCTCAGCTGTGATATGGATAAGTTCAAACTCAAAGCTAAAAGAGGAGAGGACAACCACCGTTGTGGCAAGGGAAATAAATCCTAATAATGAAAGATTAGGAGACTTTGGAATTAAAAGTTGGAAGCAAACTAGGAAAGGAAACTTGGAATTCCAATAAGACGACGAATATATCCAATGCTAAACTTAGGTGAGGAGGAGCTCTGTTAGCTCCAACGTCATGCCAAGGCTGGCACAAGTCTCATTCAAACAAGAAGATATCGAAAGAGAATTCATTCACATAATATATCACGATACCTCTATACTTGTATATTTGTATTTGTTCATAATCATATCATACACAAGGACAATAGGGCTTGCAAGGCGCAACCTCGAGTGATCATTTATACCTGCAGATACATACAACCCCTAAAATATATATATATTTTTTTCAAAATAAAAAAAAGACAAGAGAAAAGAAGATAAAAACCATATTGATTTATGATATACCAGCACACTACAATGACAACGACAAGCACAGAAAAACCCATGCGACGTCGCGGCCCTTTAGATACAACTCTCTCTCTCTCTCTCTCTCTCTCTCTCTCTCCCCCCCTATATATATATATTTATATTTGTGCTATATATATTTATATATATACCCCTACCTCTTACACTACGTATATATATATATATATATATAGTATGGATGTACATACAAGTACTGAGGTTCTAATTTGTGCAACTTCATTTCCTAGGACACCGTCTTTAGCTCTGTAGCTTCACATTTACACGCACCATGGAGATGGCTGCAATGGTCCCCAGCCACTTCCATCGACGGAGTTGCTGGAAAAAATGCCATGATCTTCTATCACCGGAAAATCAAGGGACATGGCTGCCTCCGCCCATATCGAGTCATCGAACATCGGAAAGTTTCCGCTTACGTTGCCCCAGAAAATTCCAGAATCCATTCCTTCATTGCCACTCATATTCTCCTCCACTTTCATCTTGCTGTGCTCGGCCTCTGGCTTAGGCTCAGGGTAAGTACCATGGGGCTGATGAGCTTTCACATTCGGATAATGATCGCGAAGTACTGGAACTGCAACATTGTTGAGAGGAGCAGCATAATCGTTTGATAAACCGGCACTGGAAGTACCTGATGGATTCTGATGCAGAAGGGTTAGTTGGGCAGATGGGTTTGGCGTCTGTGGAAGCATGTGGGTGTTGGCAGAGGAAGGGACTTGATGGTGATGGTGATGGTGACAGTGAGGGACTAATTGATCAGGCAAATTGAGCTTGGCCTCGGAACCGTAGAGTTTGCGAGCAGCAGCATCATAAGCCAAAGCAGCTTCATGGGAGGTGTCAAAAGTGCCAAGCCAGAGACGAGCACCACGGTTGGGCTCACGGATTTCAGCCACCCATTTCCCCCAAGTCCTCTGCCTCACACCTTTGTAAGTGCACATGGCATTCTCAGGGCCTCCTTTCCCTCTCATGCACCCCTTTCTTGAACTGGCCTGTGCAGGCCTCTTCACTTGCTTTCTTTCCCCAAGCTTAACGCTGCTCATCTCTGACTTCAACATTGTGGTTGATTGACAATGACACACAACTCTGGGATTTAAAGAGGAAGGGATTGTGTTTGTGTTTCCGAGCTCTTTCTCTCTCTCTCTCTTTCTCTCTCTCTCTCTCTTTTCTTCTTCTTTTTCTTCTGTTTTTGCTTTTGGTGCGTGTGATAAGCCATAAGTGAAAAGGGTGGCGGTATTTATACGACAAGGAAGGAAGGAAGGAGTTATGAGACATAACCTGTAACGTGGCTTTTGGTTGAATACTTGGCATGGCGAACAGGACATGTCGTGTCCATGGCCAGCCTCACTGTTTAACCCTCTTATACAACACTTGGCCTACCTCTTTGTTTGCTTACTAGCTCAGGTGGCAATCGGGCAGGAGCAAAATTCCAGTTTTGCTTTTTCATATATTTTACTTTTTTATATATAAAAAGGATAAAAAGTCTCCTGTTTTTCTGAGTTTTTATTTTATTTTATTTTTTTTTTGAAAAAATTCGAAAGGAAAATGTTTGGTTGGATGAAGGGCTAAAGGGAGGGGGATCCAGATAATGGCTCATTTACTATCGGAGGCGGTGTTGAAACGGTTGGAGATAAGAACCTACGTTATTTCCCAAACCCAGGGTAGCGTTTAGCAGCACAGGGAGACGAATTGAGACATGGTCTTTTACCAAATCCCACGTACGCAGTGTCACAATTGATTGATTCAATGGATCGATCATAAGAATTTGGATCCATGTAGGACCCGCCACTCTTACGAGTTTTCCGAAAAGGATAGAAGTTCACGCCCACAGATCGGAATGAATCTTCCGGACTGATTCCCATTTCCCACTGCTCCTGCTCTTGTCGTTATATTTGCAGTAAATAAATCATTGCACTGTTGCACACACATGCTCTCTTGTAGTTATCCGATCTTTTTCGGATGCTAAAATCACAACGGCAGGAAAAAAAAATATATATTAATCATCGTAATTGTGACCAAAAATAAAATCCTAGGATTCTTGGTACGAACCGTACCAACGAACCCTGACATGCTAAAACACAGAAACAAAAGAATGTTATGAATCCATCATTCTATATATAGTATACACCTACCAACAGGTTCTTGTTAAGAATAAACTTAATATACTAGAATCTCATTCATGAATTAAAAAACCCGGCAAGAAAGCTGAAGAAAATTTCATTCGTGATTTCGTTATGGTATATGCTGCAGCTAGAATTTATCTATACATATTTGGCATATGTACAAGTTACAAATCAAAATTGTTCTAACCTGTCTAATCCAGAAAACCTCATGCATAATAATTTTGTAGGTGTTTCTGTTTCACACCGAAAACGTCATGTTCTCGCACTCAAATCCAATGTTTAATTTGCACCTCGGCACTTTCTCAGACCGGCCCTTATCTCCTTCAACATCTCGTCGACTCTGATGCCTTTCCTGCAAAAACCAACATAGTTGAAACTTTTATTTAAGGTGCTGCTCTTGTTACTTCATATATAGAACTAAGCAGGAGTATAGTGAGGAATATACATTTGTAGTAAATAATCTGTAAGAAAAATAAACAAGAACGCTAAAATGTAGTTCCAACTGAAATGCTGTGTGAGGCATGCATATTCAACATTGTGCAAAATAGTTCTCTACTTATGTTTTCGGTCACAGAAACAATTACCCATGAAGAATTTAAAAAAAAATCCAGGAATTTGTTTCGTAAAACTTGAAAACTTAAATAGTTTTTATTGTGGAACCCAAAAATTCTATAAATATTTTATATGTAGGAGATTCATAAAAAACAAATTCTTCTCTCCCTCAAGGCTTTGACTGAAACCCAAAAGGATGGGGATCCGTTTAGAAGGGTGTAGAGAAACCTGAATGAGGATATCGGCTACTATGTGGATAAGGATAACATAGCAAACAATCATGTTAACTTTATTTTACCTCCCAATGGAAGTTACTAATTCTTTACCCCAAAAAAAAAAAATGGAAGTTACTAATAAAATCATTGATAATATGCCGTCATTAAAAAAAAAATTCCCAACTAAATAGCTTTCACTTTTTTTTCTTCAATGAGAATGGGAAGTCCTTTTCTTTAGTTTCAAAACATTAGCAAATGACCATTTTTCATGCGCACAGGGAAAAATATAGGAGGCTGTCAAATACCAATGACAAATAACACCGGTGGAGAAAAAGATAGCGCTCGAAAAACAGAAGATAAAGTTTTAGGGATAGAACTTACAAAACACTGACTCCTACAATGGCGAGGGGTCGTGGATAGTCCTCAATATCTTTATCCTTCTTGTCTTTAGTAAGAACTCTTGGAGAACTCCCATCTGCATTCCCACCTTCAGAGGACAGCTGTTGGACTGCACCTGTACTGCTCGTTTCTGGCTCAGAAGATGGCCTATCAACACCAAGTTTCATTATTTCTTCCGTCAAAGATGGAAGCCTGTCTTTTGCCTGAAATGCGGAGATACATTTCAATCAAACATGAGATTTAGGAGATGACGTTATTTCACTGAACAAGATATTAGTGACCAGCAGAGAACAGAGATTGGAACCAGGATGCATTTTCCACTGTAGAAGAGATAAAAAAACAAATGACACAAACCTCGGGAAGGTCAATTTTATTCAACACCACAATGTATGGTCGTTCAAGGTAATCAGGATTATACATTCGCAATTCCTGCAAATATGAGGCCGGTAGTTAGCATCAGGTTAAATACTGATATGCGGAGGGAAGGGGAAAAAAGAAGGAAAAGTCAAGCACGTGGTAAACACTCCCACTAATTCAAATCTTCTCCACATCAAAACAACAGAGGCTAACCAGTAATCACAAGGGAAAAAACTAACTACCATTAAAGAATCATCATTCATAGGGTAACGGCACAATAATGACATTTAACAAGAAGCAACTAGAATGACAGTTAGATATCAGTAATTACACACTAACTTATCAATAAAAAATACAGCACATGAATAACGGGACACATACTTCTTTGACGGTTCTGTAGTCATTTACAGGATTCTCGGCTGCAGCATCAACAACATGGACCAATAGCCGGGTCCTCCTCAGATGCCTCAAAAAATTGCGACCAAGACCCTAAAGGATGACCAGAGTTTGAATTAAGACAATTGGAGCTTTAGCATAAGTGAGTAAACAAGATAGAAAAACATTACCTTCCCAAGATGTGCCCCTTCGATAAGACCAGGCAAATCTGCCAACGTTGCTTCAGAAGAATACATCTGTGGCCCTAAACTTGGGTCACCATCAAGGCGTCCAAGGTTCGGCATTAAGGTTGTGAAAGGATAATCCGCAATATCAGGTCTTGCAAGTGTAGTGGCTGACAAAAGGGTTGATTTTCCAGCATTTGGAAGGCCCTACAACAAAGGCAGGCACATATTAGCAATCTAAAGACCGTACTAATACCTTTACTAAGTAGCCTTGCTCTATAATTTCTTTATTCTCCACCCATGAAAGGCCAAATATAATCTATAACAAAAAAGAAAAACTTAACAAGGAATACGTATTTACATTTACTCAATTAAAATTTTTAATGGAGTTAGAAGGGTTTTCCTCTTCGATTCTATTCCAAATTAACTTGATCAAAAGATTTATTATTCCATTTCATTGTACAAACAACCGGTGATGTATTGTCTATTTTTTGGAAATCTAGGTACCAAGAGTCAGTTACCAACAGTTTCATTAACACATCACAATGTGATCATTGAACTTCTAAGAGCAGAACTTCAAAATAAAAAGGAACCCCAGGGAGAGAACAGGAAAACAATACTTACAACCAAACCAACATCAGCAACAACTCGCAGAATCAACTCCAGACTAACCTCCTCTCCTGGTTGACCAACAGCTAAAACCTGCAATCATCTGATAATGGCTTACAAACTGTTTTAAAATAAGAAACACACATATGACTAAAATAGTCTGGTTATTGGATAAGTTATATTTTTCTATGAATGAGAGATAGAGAGGTAAGATGTTAGTCAAGAAAGGCAATGATAAAAAAACACCCAAAATAGGGGTTGAAATTATAAAAAAACCCAAGCACTATTTAAACATATAAACACACCCAAAATCCATCATTACACACACTCAAAACCCATTTATAAACACACCCAAAAAGTTAACTTTGGGGTTGATTTTGGGTGTGTTTCTATGTTTAAATAGTGCTTGGATTTTTTTTATAAATACATGTCTATGATTGGGTTTATTTATAAATTTGTACGAGTAATACTTGAGCAGCTTAATGTATAAACATCACATTTGCCTGAAATTTTCAATAAATTTGAGTGTGCACATGTCTCAATGGAGATATTTACCATATAATGCATATCAAAACACTATCATGTCTCAGTCGAGATATATTCACAACCACATTACCTTATCACTATCATCTCTCATCACATTTGTGGTCAAAGCCATCAACTTTTTCCTGCTATGCTCTGGCATTTCTACCAAGCTAATCTGCCACAAAATCCAAGAAAAATGTAAATGTAAAAGGCAAATTGAAAATACTATTTACACAACAGTTTACTGAATAAAGAATAATCTAATGTAGATTGGGACTATCTTCCCAATTGCCAAAAGTTCTGAGTCTCTGAAGAAAAATAAACAAACAACTGTTTTTTTTTTTTTCTTCCTGAAGTTTTCACTCCGTTTAAGGCATGTTGGCTCACCCCTCCTTGTCCACCCCTTGCTACAAGGACTTCATCACCTGGCCGTGCTAAATCAGCCAACAATGTCCCTCGTTTACGCTTCACTACCGTACCTAAGGTAGGCGGAAACAGAGATAAGGTTCATGGAAGATAAACAAAGTGATAATATGAAACTATTCAAACAGAAAATCTCTCATGAAAATCCCAATTCTTTACATTCACTGCAAAACAATGCACAAACCTGGAGGCACTGGAATACGCAAAGTCGGGGCAGAAAGTCCATCATGCAATTGTGCAGTCAAAACACCCATTGCAGCCACATTCCCTCCGCGTTTTGCATTGTACCTATTTTTCGTGTGAAATTCCAGTAACGAATCTTTACCCTCATCGGCATAGATCACAACATCACCTCCATGGCCACCCACAGGAAGAATAAGGGACCCACCAAAATCCCGTTTAAACAAGCTTTTTCTCCTCAGCTTCTCCTTCTCGTGTTTTCCTTGAGGCTTACTAGCTCTCTGGTTTGGCATGTTGAGGACTGCGCCATGTCCGCCATCTCCTGAGCGAACTGTTATGATGACCTGATCAAAGTACTTGTGAGGTTCCTTGATTAAAGTATTGGGTTTTTGAGCAGGAGATTCTTTGGCTCTGGTATTAAGTCGGCAGCTTATTGCGTAGTATCTGATATTATTCAAATTTTGCGAGACCTGGCCACACCTATACGAAATAAACCATGGGAATTACGAACAGGAACAAGTTGAAGAAAGGCGCGAGAAAGAGAGTGGAGTGATCTCAAAGAGTTTCCTATTTTCATATACTAGCGCAGTAAAATGAAAGCATAAGAAAGTTTCTGCTGGTTGCATAAAATGCCGCATTTAATTTTGGAGAATTGGGGAAGAAGAAGATTTTTCAAAGTTTTCGTTGTATTTTTATTAGCAATATTTTAAATGTAAAGATGCTCTAATATTTAGAAATTACCTTTCAGGTAAAACGGTGCCGTAGAACGAGGACTTGTGGCGGAAAAGATAGGAAGTTGATGGTGGCGGGGAGATTAGAGACACCATATCCGAATAGAGAGAAACAGCAAGAGAGAGAGTGAGTCAGTGAGGAAGGCGAGCGAGACAAACAGTAACAGAGCAACAGACAAAGACGACAGGGATATTTTTTGCAAGTCTGGCGGGACTGACTTTCTAATTTAAGCCCATTTTCTTTGGGTCGGTGGTGATGTGCGTCATTTGAAAGCCCAAATCTTACTTGACCGAAAAAGTCCGCGTAAGTTTTAAGGCCGTGTCCATATCCACAACCGACTTAACTTATTTTTTATTTAAAATTTATGCAAACCGACTTTATGTTTCTTCAAATATATTGGGGACTTTTTTCTTAATTAATTCAACTTGATTTTTCCAAACCAGGGCCCTGTTTTTTTTTTTTTTTTTTAAAAAAAATAAAAAAATAAAAAAACAAGTGATGATCTAAGAGCATCTCTAAGGGAGATGTCAAATACCAAACATCAAATTTAAATTTGATAGCTGATGTGGTAATTTGACATTTACACAATTTTACACTCCACCTGATATGTCAAATAAATAATTATTGTAACAGTCAAATCATTTAAGATAAAATAAAATATATATATAAAAAGGAAAATAATAAATGAAAGTAACAACAATCTATCTTTAAAAATAATAAAATATTCATTTGACCTCTTGCTATTGGGATATCAAAAATAACATCTCAACCTCAAGCCTTCATTTCACATCAGTTTTGACACATCGGTTGGAGTGATGTGAGATGTTATTTATAACTGTTAAATATCTATATGGCACTTTTGACACATCTGTTGGAGATGCTCTTAAACGGTGTTTGGCTACAAAATTATTCATTAGAATACAATATCACTAGTCACATGATACGTAGGTGGTAGAGTATGAGAATGCCTTTTTATTTTAGAGACAACAAAAAAAAAAAAAAAAGACAAGAGCATAAGAGGCCCTAGGCACAAGCAAATAAGGCGGCTGCCTAAGGCCCTCCTATCCTACCCCGATTTATATAATACCATATCTACATATCAATATTATTTATAAAAAAACTATAATATATAAATATTATGTTAGTTCCAAACCAATTATTGTAAATATAAGAAAAAAACTTACCTAATCATTCAATTCAAAACTAAAAAAGGAAACTCAATAAAGGCCCACTAACCGTAAAAACAAAAAACTTGCCCAATTACCCGATTCAAAATTAAAAAGAGGAAACTCAATAAAAACCCAATTTTTTAAAAAAACTTAGAGCTGAAATGAATTAACCTAATTAGGAAATTGAAAAAGATATAGTAGAAAAACTTGATTATGTAAAATTAATTGATACTTTTAAATGGAAAATGCAATACGAGTGATATTTAAGTGATTTTTTGATTCATTTTTTTAAGTTGTGTAAATTACATATTGATTGTTTCTTTTATGTTACAATTGTGAATTTGAGTCCATATAATACTTGTTTAAATCACATAAATATACATATAGAGTAGAAGGTCCCATTTACGAAGTTCACCTAGGACCTTCAAAACGTAGGACCGCCGTTGATAATGAGGAATCATTTTCAGTTTATTATTGGGATTTCTATAAATAAATTGCAAAAGCTTCTATAAAAGTTTATACAAAACACTTTGTTCAAGGGTGAATTTTAATTGAATAAAAACCAATAGTAGGTAAACTTATTGAAGGTTTATACAAGAATGTGGCTTGGCTAAGAGTTAGAGAACAATTTTGTTTAGCATGCTTCGCTTCCCATCGCTTCATAATTTTTCAAAGGATCAAACTTGGTAAAGTTTTTTGGACAAAGTTGAAACCATGGAAAAGTAACAAGCTGCACCTAAATTTTTGTTTTTACTTTCCTCTAAAAATAGTTGGTGTTTGTGGTTTGAATTGAACTGTGTGATTGACCCATGTCAACTAAACAGGTTGACTTTTTAGGAAGCTGGGCGCTGGTGGGTTTGGAGGTACGGACGACCATATATTTAAAAATACCATCTCATCAACACACAGTAATTGTCACTGTTGATGTTTCACGTTCATAGTCGCCGTTGTGTAACAGTGCCATGGCATGGACTTCCCTTTTTGGTTATAGACTGACTGCCACTCCTACTCCCCCCCACTCTCTAAAATCCCCGCGCTAAATCATTAAAGTAAAAATTAAATAATTTATTTGTCATTGTTTAGGTGTGTATTAGGTTTGGGTGGGTGAATGCGTCATTTTCTTTTTGATTAGGGGTAAATGCGTCATTGGATTCTGTGATGGCTGCTTAGTTAATTTCATTCTTCGTGTTTCTGCATCTGTCCAAGATCATGGTTTTATTATTTATTAGTAATTAGAAATTAATCCATAATCAATGCTTATAAACAAGTGATGATCTAAGAGCATCTCTAAGGGAGATGTCAAATACCAAACATCAAATTTAAATTTGATAGCTGATGTGGTAATTTGACATTTACACAATTTTACACTCCACCTGATATGTCAAATAAATAATTATTGTAACAGTCAAATCATTTAAGATAAAGAAGAAAAAAATAAAAAAAATAATAATAATAAATGAAAGTAACAATCAGTTGTCTTTAAACACTAATAAAATATTCATTTGACATCTTGCTTTTGGGATGTCAAAAATAGCATCTCAACCTCCAGCCTTCCACATCAGCTTTGACACATCAGTTGGAATGATGTGAGATGTTTTTTCCAGCTGTTAAATGTTTATGTGACACTTTTAACACGTCGGTTGGAGATGCTCTAAAGTACAAAGGAGATGAGGGGGTTTTATACGAACACACTACCAAGGCATGAGCGTTCGCACCAAGGCCCTTTCAATGAAGGTGATTCTCCTCAGAGTCATAAGTGTTGGGTCTTCTAATTTTAATATAATTTTCCTATTTTTATGGTAAAATATGAAAATAAAAATTCTCCTCACCAAATACTCACATTAACTGGGAAAGAATTGCATCATGTGGATTAACTTGGGATCAATTTGAAGCCAAAATAACACTAGTTGACCCTAGGAAGAGCTAACTGGATATAACACGTGTGAAAGAAACTTTACAACAGTGTCTGATCAAAATCTGACATTATACTTTATCGTAGATTACACGAGTTTGAAGTCTCAAAATAAGCACGATAACATATGCAAGCCTTGCATCAGATCAACTTCAAATACCCAACCTAGACAAAACCAATTGGCGCAGAGCTAGTACCCCCTTTGATGAGTACTTTATATACAAGAAATAATGTATTGCACCAACTCCACATGTAGATGTAGTGTAGCATACAAGATTGAGCACCAAACTTGCCAAACTGCAAGATATGAGAACAGACAGTGATACTCCAAGAGTTTCATCCATTAGCTTCTAATAAAATCCTTCAAAGAAAATGTTGGAGGCCCATTCTGCAAAACCAAATCAACATCGAGTGAGGAAGTAACACAATCTTGCTATGCATTACACAATTCACCTGTCCTAGCCGCTAGGAAGTCGTTCACCATTAAAAGGACAGAAAAGGCATAATCTACATGTATATAACACACACACACACACACACAAAATTCACCTGTCCTAGCCGCTAAGAAAAGGGCATGTGCCTATCCTGAATAATGAATGAATCTAATAGGGCACGTGCCTATCCTGAATAATCTCTCTCTCTCTTTTTAACTTTCTGCACAACAGTAGGCCTAGTTGAGGAATCTCTTAACCTGTTACTAAGGAAAAGATACCAAGATGTAATTTCAATCAATACTTACAGATGTGTAAGCTTATCCCAATTACCCTCTTTTCATAACAATAAAATCTCAATTTCCCTTCACTTTGCAATGTAGTATGTAGGTTACGAAAGAGAGCAGTACCCCCTTTAACAAGGATGAAGTTATTTTATAAAGATAAAAAAAACTGATATTCTGCAAAGCTAACTGAGGTCAGATGGTTAAAATTGGCTTCATTTTTCTCAACAACTGCAGCCCCAAGAATCAAGCAGAAAAATAAATATTAACTAACTGCATATTACCTTGGCATTTTCTTCACTTATGCATTGTCTAACTACTGTTGTCTGTTGTATTAGCCTTTCCATTGCAGTATAATTGGGCAGGTTTGAATGTTCTGACAATTACCATGAAACACAATTAAAAAACAGTACATTATTGATTGTTTTAAATGCCAAGTTTACAATCCAGGGAAATAAGCATATGATATTTGCAATGAACAGATATCTCTCTACAGCAGCATTGAAACACATATGGCACACAGAAGCAAGAAGGAATTTGGGTAACACACCAAGAACTGCTCGGTTCAAACTATCTGCAACTTGCTGCCGATAGTCCAAGCTAAGCAAATGAAACATAGGGGACTTCTCTGGTTCTTCATAGGCAAGCAAAGCCATAAAGTCCTACAGAAATACCAAAGTTCAGTCTCACAGTGACATACATACACACATACAAAATGTGCATAAATTTATATAAGGAATACTTGAGAGAGTTGCAGCATACTTCAAGCTTTGAGACGTATTTTTCCACCTTCCCAAAGGGGGTCAACTGGTTCTGGGCAAATTCCAAAGCTTCTGTGCTGCCAAATAAATAAAGAATTAAAAAGCAAGAAGGGCATAATACAAGCTTTCTAGATGTATCCCTGTAATTTTGCTCACCATTTCTTAGAGCAAACAAGTTCAACAAAGTGAAGGCTCAGAAGGTCAAAATGCAATTCTTTATTTTTCTCCAGTAAGTCAGGTGCCAGCTGTTCCGTCAGTTCAATCGCCTTGAGAGCATTCCCCTCCACTGCACAGTGAAAAATTCCTGCGGACAAAGCATACAATTAGCATCATCATCACCAAACGCTCCAATATTCATCTATGACAACAATATGCGAGCAAACTTGTCATTGCTTTGCTGCAAACCTACTTTTTCTTTTCTCCATATCCTCAAGACAGTCAGCAGGCTGCTTCATCCCCGTCGAAGCAACAAATGACTCCACACTTTCTTTATAGCAATTATGCACAAGGTATGATAGAACAATATTGTGGATGTCATTGTCATTGATAGCCTGTCAATTACAAAAATAAAACCCAAAATCGCCACGATAAATACAAATGTTATGCACAATGGAAAACTAAATTAATAGAATCAACCAACGAATATTTTCAGATAGAATTCTCTTCTTCATCCATTAAAGTGCCCCAATAGGCATATGCAATAAGCCCTAATATGGTATGGATGAGTCAATGACCAAAATCAATGCAATTGAACAGTAATTAGGTGTAAATTGTATAATCTTCGTGACTGGAAGTAAAATAAGATTATGGAAATTGCAATAATTTGATAAACGCAAAAACAAAAAACGAAAAATAGAAACTCACAACGTGATTGTAGTGACGAGGATCGACGTCCATGATTCGCCGCCTTTGGTAGAGTGAGAGGTTGAGGAAGAGAGGAACGGAGGGGTGTGGCTTCGTGCTCAGAGCAGGGGGTTTCGTTTCTGACACGATGAACGACGGTTTTATGTATCGGGTGGCATTCAGAATCCGAGTCTGTTCGAGACACCTGAGAGTGATTGCATCTTTATCTGTAATGTCTCAAACACTAAACCGCTACTGTCTCTTAGGTTATTGCACACGTGCCTTCAAGGGCAAAATATCATTGCATATTAAAACGGAAGTTTGAATTCCTTTTGCTACAAAATAATCAAAATGAGGCGAATTGATCGTTAGATTAAATGCTCACTGCCACTTTTAAGTTGCATAATAGAGGCATGGTGTAGTGAGAGAGAGAATTTGTGTGTGTGTGAGAGAGAGAGAGAGAGAGAGAGAGAGAGAGAGAGAGAGAGTTGATTAGTAGGAAGAACAAAAATTGGTAAATATTGTCTAATGTTTAATGTTAGGCAACATTATAATATTAACTTTCAATTGCTAATAAATAAATTTAGTAGTGGATATGTAGAGAAATAAGTGAAATAATAATTCGTGTAATTGTGTATTGTTAATGTTTTATTGATCATGTGAAAAGGGATATTTGAACTTATCAACTTTTCAAATATTAAGAATAAAATCACAGCTATAATAATATGGTTAATATTTAGTGAGCTATTTCAAATTCATACGGTTCTTTATTATGGAGATGACACATTTTACCATGGTTAACATTTAAATGGCATAAGACGGAAAATTAATATTGCAAAGAAGAAAATTAAAAATAATAAAAATTGAAGTCGGCATAGCCTAATTTATTTGTCCTAATGAGAGTACTTGAACATATGTTATAAGAGCATCACCAGCGAATGATGTATTTTTAAGGGTGTAAAGTCACTTTTACATCTCCTTTACACATTTGGATAGTGTAAGTGCGTTTTTTGCTCTAATGGGAAAAAATGTAATTCCAAATATATATTTGATTTGTTAGTGATAAATTTTTTTTATTTTTTTTCTTTAGTTTTAATTTTTTTAAATTAATTTTGTGTGTGTTAAGTTTATTTTCTTTTTCCAAACAAATGGACCTACAAAAATTTAATTTTGGCGAACATATTATTTTACCTACAAACTAACATAAAGATATGGTTTATTATCACAAAACGCCCCTAAGGTTTACGAAACTATCAGATTGCATCCTTAATGTTTTTTTGTGTCATTCGTAGTCCTCAATGTTAGTATGTGGGATCACAAATGGTCCATGCAGCTAGGTTTCGTTAGTTTGCTGACGTGGTATATATATATATATATATCACAAAACATCTCTGAGGTTCACCCACCTATCACAAATGGTCCATACAATTTTTTTTTTAATTTTTTTAATTTAAAATTCATAAAATTTTGGTTTCCTTTTTAACATGAATTTTAAATTATTTAAAAATACATATTATATTTTAAATACATGTGACACTATATTATTGTAGATGTGGGCTCCATATATATGCCACATCAACAAACTATTGGAGTTTTTTAAAAATAATTTAAAATTAATAAAATTTTAAATTGAAAAAAAATAAACTAAAGGTTTAGGGTTCATAAATTGTCATCAATATTAAAATCCTTCAATAAATAGATTTTTCATTTATAAATAATTTTAAAAAGAAAACTAAAATTTTATGAATTTTAATTTTAAAAATTTTAAAAATTTGCAAGGATCATTTATGATAGTGTGTGAACCTCAAGGATGTTTTGTGATATATATATATATATATATATATCACGTCAACAAACTAACGGAGTTTTTTACGGAACCTAACGACAGATACCATTTGTCATCGCACATACTAACTTTGAGAACCACGAGTAACAAAAAAAAAATTAAGGATGTAATTTGATAGTTTTGTAAACCTTAGGGACGTTTTATTATAATAAGCCAAAAGATATATATGTAGAAAATTATAATTGATTTTAAACATTTGTAGGTATTTTTTTTTTCCTAATATTTCATACCATTGGAAGTGGAATGCAAATTGCATGAATATATGGGACTTTCATTTTGAATTCCAATCCATCTCAGCCGTTCATCATAGAGCTATTGGGGATTGTAGCGCACCACTTGGTGTGCTGACGTCAAGCAGAGCCCTCCCCATCTACTGGTGGAACCCAAAAAAATTTCAATGGATGTGCAATTTTTAAAGTCTTTAGCTTTAAAATAAAATTTGAGTGGGCTATAATTTATATAGTATATCAATTAATGTGAAAATCAATATTGAATTATCAATCAATTAATCTAACGAAAATCAATATCAAATTATCAATTAAACAAATAAATAATAATTGATCATACCTCGAGTCTTGTGCCACACAACCTCTTCCTAATTGAATTTGCTATTCATACGAATACAGAGATAGCCAAATCAGAAATAATAATAAAAATTATAATAAACATATTATAAAGAAATAACAAAAAAGAAAAAAGAAAAAATAGGGAGCATGATTGAAGAGCATCTACAATCTCTATATATTTTTAGTTAAAATTTAGCTAAAAACATATAAAAGCTATTTTAGAAGTTCTCTATAAAATTTTAAGTCCAATCATACTTTATAGTTTAGGGAGTCATAAATGCTATAACTCTTATTTAATTGGTTCATCTCTATAAAAAAAAATAAAAAATAACTAGCATTAATTAAAGATTTAAAATACTCATAAAATAAGCAGCATTAAATTATAGAAAGCCACTAGAAGTCCTGTCTCTCTATTTTTATTTTAGGATGGCCGGAGTTATATTTTTCCAATCCTTCTATAAAATTTGTCCAAAAATATGATTTAATGAGCCCATTATAAATGCTCATTACTGTAATCCAACTATATTTCTATTTTTCGGGTCGAAAAGTCTGACTACGTTACTATCTGTATCCAGAGTTCCCAGCCCATGTATAAATTGGGTAAAAGAAATGGGAAAAACAACCTTACTTCTACCATACAATGTCCAACTTTAACTGGTCAGACCCTTCAAGAAATTTCGTCCAATCAGACAGATCCATATGGTCCTCCATATTTCTAGCTACCCAATACAACGAACAACCCCTTCAAAACCCAGACCAGCAGCCTCTCACAGAAATGAACCCCTCGTCGCTTTCTGTCTTTCTTCTAACTCTTGTCCTTGTCTCCCATACTTGCCTCTCTTCGTCTTCTTCACAAACCACCTCTGAACTCTTTGAAGTTTGGTGCAAAAAGTATGGCAAGTCATACTCTTCAGCACAAGAAAAGCTCTACAGGCTCAGTGTGTTTGAGGACAATCTTGCCTTTGTTACCCAACATAACGATATGGGCAATTCTTCTTATACCCTTTCTCTCAATGACTTTTCTGATCTCACTCACCATGAGTTCAAGTCCTCTCGTTTAGGCTTCTCACCCACCTTTCTCAGTCTTAAGCGTAAATCAGATAGGAAACCCAGCGTAGTTCGTGATCTTCCTTCTTCATTAGATTGGAGGAAGAAAGGGGCAGTCACTAATGTGAAAGATCAAGGGAGTTGTGGTATGTTGGTCTTTGTTCTGTTATCGAAATTGTTTAATCTTTCTCAGTCTTAATTTGTATAATTATCAAATTGGATTTTGTCTTCTAGTAAATTATTAGCTTTAATATATGTAGTAGGAATTTTGGAGCAGGCATCATCAATAGTTTTGGTTTTTCTTTTCTTGTTTCTTGTTGATTTAAGTTTTGCTGAATTTTGGTTTGGAAATGAGATGGGGTTTTGCCCGAGAGCCTTTTACAATTTTTGCTGAATCATTGGCTCGTTGAACAACTCATTTCAGCTAGTTAGCACCAAAGAAATGAGAAATTAAGGCAAATTCGTGAGCAATGGAGTAAACTTTGATTGCCTTCTTTGATCTACCGTGGCTTGGCTGATTGCATCAAGTCATTTTAAATTTCTTTACTGTAAGAAGTATCATGGAAATTGGAATGAACCTTGTCATGCGGTCTTTAATCTTGTACCATGTTCATGTGCTTGTGCATTCTTAATGGAGGGGTTTGCTGGTGTGATTATGGAGTTAAATATGTTTGCATCAATTCATCCATTCTGATTTCCATTTCTTAAAATAGGGTTGTTTCATTCGATTTTTTCACGTTATGGTTTGCTTGCTTTGGCATCTGCTAAACTCTTGATGCTCATAATCAGTTGGTTCAGTTAGCTAACATGCAAAACGTTAGACGATGAAAACATGTATCAGTTTCTTGTAAGTTGTAAATGTCTTCTTGAGTCATTGCACTCATGTTATATTAGGAGGCAATAGTTGAATTTAATCTCTTGATGCCAAATTTGAGACTAATTCTTGTTGTTATAGGTGCTTGTTGGGCCTTCTCAACTACTGGTGCCATCGAAGGTATCAACAAGATTGTCACAGGATCGCTCATCAGCCTCTCTGAACAAGAGTTGGTTGATTGTGACAGAGTTTATCCAAACAACGGCTGCAACGGCGGACTTATGGACGATGCATTTCGATTTGTCATAGATAACAATGGGATTGACACTGAGGAAGATTACCCATATAAAGGTTGGGATGACACCTGCATTAAGAAAAAGGTATTTACTTCTTTCTCTTCCCCCGGCCTCCATCTCCTTTTCTCAATCCCAACCCATCCTTGGAGCAGAGATGTTTTCTATAGTACCGTGTTTGGATTGAATTCCAATCGTTGCTTGAACCTATGTGTTTATATGAGACTATTGATCCTCTGTTTTCTTAGATTGCTCTAATATAAGTTTGCATTGTCAGCTAAAGAGGAATGCTGTGACCATAGATGATTATACTGATGTGCCCTCAAATGATGAGGAACAGCTAATACAAGCTGTGGCAAGTCAACCAGTGAGTGTAGGTATATCGGGCAGTGACATGGCATTTCAGCTGTACTCAAAGGTTTGCCTCAATTGTCAACTACAGTGGCATTAGATTGAATAGTGATCATCAGTAGTTGTGTTTGATTAATATCTTTACTTGTGTTATAGGGGATTTTCAATGGCCCTTGCTCGACTTCTTTGGATCATGCTGTGTTAATCGTAGGTTATGGTTCCGAAAATGGAGTGGACTATTGGATTGTAAAGAATTCATGGGGGACAAATTGGGGGATGAATGGCTACATGCACATGCTGCGTGATCATAGCAATCCCAAGGGGATCTGTGGCATCAACACGTTGGCTTCATATCCAATAAAGACGGGGGAAAACCCTCCTCTTCCCCCGCCTTCTCCGCCGCCAGGGCCTACTCGGTGCGATATCTTTACACACTGTGCAGCAGGGGAAACCTGCTGTTGTGCCAAGAGGGTTGTGGGAATATGCTTTTCTTGGAGATGCTGTGAGTTGGACTCTGCTGTTTGTTGCAAGGATCAGCGTCACTGTTGCCCCCGTGATTATCCCATCTGTGATACAGAAAGGACGCTGTGCCTCCAGGTTTGTATCAAATACGAATCTTTCTTTATCAAACATAAGAATAGTAGAATGCTGAAAACTAAGTCACTGTCGTTGCGTGTTAAGTCACTCCACCACATATCAAACCAATAGATTTAGTCCCTAGGTCATTTCTTGGCACAAAGCATCTTGTAAAAACTTTGTTACTTACCACTAGTTATGTTATTTGCTTTTGATATCATTGAATTTTTGAGAAATTACTTTTGTATTCAGTTATAATCTGAATTTGAATTTTTCAATATTGCAGAGTAATGAGCAGCTATCAACGCAGCAGTCGCATGCCACTGGGAATTTAACATCGAAAGCGCTTAAGAGTAGAGGCAGTTTGAGGAAGTCAAGCCGCGGGTGGGGCTCCATGATTCGGGGTTGGATCCTATGAAAGTAAAGTTCTCTATAGTGGTAATGATGCTGAGCCATATTTCTTTGCCAGAGGATAAGATTCTGTATATAACTTGAAAACAAATGCGTCCTGTTGCACTCACAAATACCCATTCATTTGATGATTATGTAATATCTTCTCAATACATACTGATTTTTGCAACAACAATGGACTGTGTGATCAATCCTTGCCATTTCGTCAAATTAAATCAGATGGAAATCCTTCAGTTCTGCTGGGTTTTCTGAGTTCCTAATTGCTGATGAGATGAGATGACAGAGAAGAAAAGTACAGGAGATCACCACACAAGAATCCCATTATAAACTTTCCAAGTATGTGCAAATTCAACTTATAATTAAGAATATATCTAAAAAATCTAGAAATTAAGAAAGAGCAAAATTGAAAATTTTACAAGTTGTTTGCTTTGCTATGGCAAGTTGGGGCATTTTTTATACCTCAAAACGCTCTCCTCTCCCGCACAACAATCACAAATTCAGCGAATTTTTCACGTCGACGGGAAGACGTCTTTGACGGCCGAAGCCGCCGTCAAGTAATTAAGCGTGTTCCTCAGAGTCTCCTTCTCCCTCTTCAACCTCGCCGCCGTGTCCTCCAATTCCAGCAAGGCCTGCTGCTCTCTCGGCGCCCCTTCGAACGTGCTCCCGACGAAGAACGAAAACGGTGTCGGAAACAGGTTCCTCCTTAGGTCCTGCACATCCTTCTCCGGCTTCCCTCCCAACCGGTTCGACAACCGAATCACGTCCTTCATGTACGACTCCACCTCGTTCGCCAATGCCTCCAGGTCTTCTTCGCCGTCGTTCGACGGGCGGTCTTCGAGCCACTTCACCTCCGCCACTAGGTAGGGTTTGGTGCGCACGAGGTCGGTGACTCGGAAACGCTCTTGGCCTTTGCAGATGAGGAAGAAGCGGTCGTCCACGAGGCGCTCGTGCTTGACGATCTCGCCGACGCAGCCGACGTCGGCGGTGCCCGAAACGGCGTCGCTGTAGATGACGCCGAAGCGGAGATCGGTCTGGAGGAGAGAGTGCATCATCATACGGTACCGGAACTCGAAGATCTGCAGGGGCAAGATTGCGCCGGGGAAGAGCACCAGAGGCAGAGGAAAGAGCGGGAGCTCGACGACGTCGTCTGACTTGGGCTGATTGGTGGGGTGCCTCTCAGAGAAGGACGAGGCCGAGCATTTCAGAGAACCCGGTCTTTGACGGCGGTGGTGGTGGCTGCGGCGAAGACGGGGAGAGAGGAAATTAGGGTTAGGGTTTAAGGGGTAGGGGATGGGATTGGGGTTGAAGGTGGGTTTATGGTGTAGAGAAGAAGAAGATGAGGGAATGAGCTGGGGAAGAGCCATTTCCGCGGTATTTGGAAGAAGAAGAAGAAGAGAGAGAGCAAAGTAGCTATGTTGCCATGGACGTTTGTTCTTTGTGGAGCAAGGGAGTGCGACTGTGACTAGTGTTAGTGTTTTTACCGAAACGTTTCTCCCTCTAAACCTCGATAAATCTATATCTGATTTTTGTCAATCCAAAAACAAATAAAATATAATATAAAAGGAAAATCTGGTGGTTTTGAGTAGGCGAGAGGGAGATGTGGATAATATGGAGAGAGAAAGTAAGGCAGGTAGAGGTGGTCAGCAGCCAGGGGCTAAATCATTAGCGTATTATTAGCCTCTTTCTACTCGCTTCCGCATCTATGAGAGGTGTTTTTTTTTTTTTTTAAATTTAAATTTAAATTTATTTTAAAATTAAAAAAGATAATGGGTAGTTGTGTTTTATAAAAATAGAATCAATTATTTTTTATTTTTTTTTTATTTTAATTTTTTTTAATATGAAAAAGTATGAATATACTATCCTCATTTAATTAATAATTTTAATTATTAATATTTACATTAACTAAATGCATTTTCTGATATTTTGAATGTTTGCCTTTTGCTACTCATATTTATAGATAGATTAGTAGATTGGTAGATGGGAAAGAAGGAAGGACTTTTTTTTTCTTTTGGTCTGAAGAAGGAAGGACTTGAAATGAGAATGTTTGGATTGGTTTTAGATTTTCCCACGTGGAAGTTGGGCCTGGTTCTGGTGGTGCCTATTGTTTGATGTATCATTTTCATCCAAACACAAAAAATCTTCACCCCAATTTTCGTTTCTTTGTCCTCAGCTGTGCAACTGCAACGTCGTTTGCTCAATTTAATTGCCGTTTAAAGAATGGGCCCAACTCAATCGCCATGTTAATATAGGCAGGGACATAAAATGTGCCCACTGTGAGAGGTCCAGTACATTTAATAAAGCCTGATGCAATTGTACGTTAATGGGCCGTAACTTGGTCCGCCCCCCTCCTCTCTTTCTTTGTCTATGTGTGTGTACGGAAGAGAGTACAATAAGGAGTTTAAAATAAAGAGGTTAATCTCATCATCAAAATATTTTAAATGTTTAAGTTTCATGATTTCTTTATATTTATTGATGGTAAGATTGACCTCCTCAAATAGTCTTTTCACTTTAAACTCCCCATCATAGAAAAACCAATTGTCCTCGTTGACTGCTATAGAGGTCCTGGTTGACTAAGTAGAAAAATGTTTGCACGTATGATATTATCGTAATTATCAATGCCAAAAAAATAGGAGTAATTATCAATTAATTAAATTGACACTAGAACTAAATTCAAAGTGAAAGACTAAAGAGAATTTTCCTTTTGACAAGTAAAGGATCACATTTTAATTTTAATTGGCTTCCATTGTACCAAAGGAAGGCACGTAACATTTGACCAAATTCTATTCTATTTTACTTTTTTGGACTTTATGGTATATTTATTAACCATAAATTAGGATTAGAATCAATAATTGAATTTCAATTGGATAATTTGAGGAATTCAATTCTTAGGTGGGAGGTAATTTTCTAATTTTTAGAGAACTAAGCCATTAGGAATTCATCTTTTTTACTCATTATATCCTCACACAATTTTTAAAATTCCAAATTGGCCATATACTTTAACCAAACAATAAGAACATTTTAATAATTAGCATTACTCATACCCCAATTATATATGATTTAGTAAACAACTTCAATATTTTGATAAATATAAAAAATAAACAATTTCAATAGGAATCCGAAGTCTAACTATCTTCAATCCATTTAATTTAATAAATAATTTCAATAAAAATATGAAATCTAATTATCCTCAATTCAATCCCTTATCTATTCAATTCGGATTAGAAAAGTAAAGATGCCATTAATTTATTTGGAAGCGGTGAGTCCCAGGCTCCCAGCTACACCGCGTGAAATGTTCTCTTTGGCCCTTTGTCCAGGTTCATTTGGACCTTTTCCTAATAAACGACAAAATCTATGAACGTCACTGACATATGGGCATGCGTCACGTCACGTCATATGGATGAACGCCACGTTTGCCAATAAGAGCCTCAGCCACCCAATGGCAATGGCATTTCCGCAATAAACATTAAAACGTTGACCTCTTGGTAAAGGTCGGCCGTGGGCTCTATATATAGGCTGCGGCTGAGCCCATTACATTCATCGCAAAAAAAAAATCAACTTGTAATAACCTAGCTTGCTTGAGAATATCACAATCCTTTGAGAGAGAGAAAGAGAGAAAGCAAAGAGAAAATGGCGGAGGAAAATCAAGTCATCGGCTGCCACACTACTCAGGCCTGGGAAGATCAGCTCCATAAGGGAAAAGAGAGCAAGAAACTGGTATTTCAAATCTCCAATCACACTTGTATATCTTTTTCTTTGCTTACAAAAAATTCAATCTTAGTCTCCAGGAAGATTGACTGGCTTTCATTCTGAGTTCTGTGATGATATATTGCGTTTGTATTCTAAGATCAGCTTTCATTCTGAGTTCTTGAATGGGGATTTTTGATTTTCTTGTTCACCATTTGAATTTGTTTGTGCCTAGAAATTTAGTTCAAAATTTTAAAATCAAGAGCAAAAATTGGGTGTATTGCAGCCCTTACATTTCAACATAGAAAAGAATTTTGTCCGACTCTAGATAGGGGCTTTGTAATTTGCAAATGGCTTAAAAACCTAGGTGTACGGTTGTGTCCTCCGCTCCTTTTAACATTTTGGTTGTCCAAGTGGTTTTTTACTATGATTAACTAATTAAATACATTAATTTGGTGTCTTAATTTAATAGGTGGTGGTGGATTTCACGGCTACTTGGTGTGGACCGTGCCGGATGATCGCCCCAATCTTGGCGGAGTTGGCTAAGAAGACCCCAGAAGTGACGTTCCTAAAGGTGGACGTGGATGAACTGAGGACTGTTTCCGAGGAGTGGGGTGTGGAGGCAATGCCTACCTTCCTCTTCCTCAAGGAAGGCAAGATAGTGGACAAGGTTGTGGGTGCCAAGAAAGACGAGTTACTGAACAAAGTCGCCAAGCATGTCGCTGACTCCGCCACCTCTGCTTCTGCCACCGCTGCTACTGCTACTGCTACTGCCTCTGCTTAACTTCTATCATTCTCTGTGGAGACTATGAAACTCCTACTGTTTTACTAGTTGTTTATAACTTTTATGGATTTCTAAATTTTCTATGAAGACATATGAATTGAATGCTTTATGTATATGGCTACTTGTTCCCATATGATGCCTCATGCCAATTATCTATGAATGCTTTTTATTACAGTGCCATTGTTCTTTGGGATGGAATGAATGCTTTTTATTACAGTGCCATTGTTCTTTGGGATGGAAATTTCATGAGCCAATTGAAAACAATAAGATTTTGCATTGAGTATATTTTGGAATGACAGTCAAAACCGGAGCCAATCTAATCAAACCTCGAGGCAAAAGCACTTGCCTTTACTTAACAAACTATGCTTTTAAAAGCTTACTTGAGGCAAAAGCACTTGCCTTTAACAAACTAACTATACACAAACACAAAGTGAATCCAAAGACTATTCTGATAGATAGAGATTGGCCAATTCAATGTAGAATCTTCATCTGTAAGTATGCCTCCCTTTGTCTTGATTCTTTGCTTCATGGCTTTGCACGATGTGCCTCCTTTTACAGCGTATTCATCTCCTTGAATCAGGTTGATTGGTAGTAATTCCTGTTGAACAAACAGCTTCAACTGATAGCCGCTTGAGTACATTCGGGCATGGATCTGTCCCAAATATGCTATTCGATACAGTAACTAAGCAACTCTCACGACCGATACAATTCTGCAAAACAAGTTAAGAGAGATTAATAAATCTTTATTTATCATAAGAATATGCATCTGTGAGTTCACTATACAAGTACAAGAGGTGAAAAGATTGTAGTTGGGAAAATGCCTTCTCTACAATGGCATGAGAGTTGGTCGCATGACACGTTCCTTGCTGGAAACTCCCGCAAGTACCAGTAGGAGTTCCAAAACTTGCAAACTTAATGCTCGAGATAGACTGCCCTGGCACACACTGCAGATGAACCTGGGCCTGGTGAAGCGTTTTAGATTCTTCATGGCTGTCAATATCGAATTTTTCGGCGTTTGGGTGGTGTTCTTGTAAATCAGCACAAACACCTGCCACTGATCTCTTCACCAGGGTTATCTTTGATGGATCCCCACCGAGTTCCTCAAACATTACCATCAGATTTTTTGTTGGCTTTAACCAGGACCGAGGAACATGGTACCTGAAAAAGATTATCAAAATAATGTTTGATGACCACAAGGAATTTCATCTTGCAGCAATTTTAGAGGTTTTAGTAGCTTATAAGGTAATACCATCGCTGAGTTGGTTGGCCACAGCCAAGTTGACACTTCGTCGGCCGGAATGTCCCAATGTAGCTGCACAAACTGCAGTCACCATTGGCATAAGCCATCCAGTATCTGCCTATGCTCTGACCGTTGATCCATACTTGACCCTTGCCCATGCTCCGCATGTCCAAAGCCAATGGCTCATCTCCTCCAGGTGCATTAAAATAAGCCTGCACAATCCAAGCTAACATTCAGTTTAGCTTGTAAAGCCTAAGACTTCACTAGTTCTTATCACTTAATAGCCAATAAGTTGTTCCTCCTTTGTCTCCTCCTTGTCTTTCTTCTCTCTCTTACCATCTTGAAATCCTTACCTTATACCATTTCAATGTCTGTTTGGTTTGGGTAGCTAGCGAGCCTCGGATCCAATCAACCGATGACCCTCCATTTGGAGAGACCAAATCCATTGCTTCTCCTTTAAGGCCAACCTGTTTGGAAGATTTTCCTATGAGATTAAAACCACGGAAAAATAAAAGGAAGAAGAAAAAAATAGATGGAGATAATAGTAAGTGGCCAAAATGGATAAATGTAGATGGGGTGGTTGTCTGACCTTGTTGAACCACTTCTGCATTGTTAAGTCTTTCCTTCCCTGGCCAAGACCGTCCAGAAAAACTGGACCCAGGATTCCTGTTTTCCATGACTCATAGTGCAACCCAACATTCTTCAACACCAAAACAAAAAGATAATCAGTAACTGAATTAACTAATGTGATTCATCATTTACTGTATGTGATCAATTGTACACGGGTTAACTGCTCATGTGCATTCAGAGTCAATGAGCCATGGGCAGGGTACTAACCGGTAATCCAACAGCTATGCTGAGGAGTGCAATTTTATTTATTCCGGCACGGAGGTGGACTGGTTTAGCAAATGTGAATTGCCTTTGCTCCCTAGTTCCGAAGGCTGACCCTGTAATAAATTAATAATGTTTTTGATTCAAGTCAAAGAGATATGGGAAAAATTGAAGCCTCAATCAAATAGAAGAATAAATTCCTGCTCACTAGATGTGGGAGAACAAAATATTTTACAACATACCTGAAAACTGTCCGTTGACGAAAACATGGAGGGCATGACCTGCTGACTGCACAGTGAGAGTAGGCTTTTTCCCTCCACGGAGCTCTGATGAACTGATGTCAACACTGAATAACATTCATACTGAAAATGTCAAAGTATGGCCATAGATGTATTTTGAAAGGAAAAAAACCAATTAAAGCACAACTGATCACTACTGCAAATGTTCTAGAAAAGCTTTTACTTCCAGTGAAGAAGTAATTTGACAATTGTTTTTATTATAGGTTGGATTTTCAAAAATTGATTTCTTGACGGGTCTTTATATTTCCTTGGTTGATCAGATATCAATTTAACTGACTAACAGATGATTATTCAAGGATAACACTGTGCAGCTACTCACTTGGTCATGTACCACAGATAGTCACTAGTATCTCTAGTGACATTTATCTGCTCTAGAAGTCCACCAGCTGCTATGCTTGATCTCTCATGTAGAGAAGAAACATCTTCATCATAAGTCTGCCATGAAAACAACGGACTATTCGTTGGGATCATCTGCACCCGTGAAGTTTGAACTCCCACCTTGATGACAGGACGACAGTTGCATCAGTAACTTGAGTAAGAGAGATTCAGAAGAGTATGGAAATGAGAATCTTAGTTGCCAACTGCTATTACCAAAAAAAGAAAGAGACTGCAATATGGGCCCCTTCATCTTTGCTTACCTTTGCAGTGTTAAATACTACATTTCTGCAATCAGGAAGGATGCTAATTGACCAAGCAGGCAAATCATAGTGCATGTTATTAAAAGTCACCCTTGTTCCTGTTGAATGGAAGTTTGAGAGAAAAGCTGCACATCTTCTTGGTCCTGAATTGAATACATAAGCCTGGAAGATAACCAAGATATGTACTTCTTTTTCAATAAGGTTAATCTTTCAGGAAATTGTGCCACTGACAGAAGAAAGTATCACATTGAAGAAGTCAAACCTGCTGATAGGTTCCTAATGAAGTAACAGTAGGATCTGAAGAAACTAAAGCATGTTCACAAAGCTTGATCGCCTTATGGAGCTCCTTCAGATGACCATATTTAGGTTGTCTGATCAAACCTGGCAACAGTTAGTTAGTTAGTTCCGAGTAAGAGCTTAAGATCGAAACTGAAATGCCATGTGTGCCAACAAATTCATAACCTTTCATAATGGACTTGAACTAAAGGTTTTACCATATTCATCAATGGGAGCATCATAGTCATAACTGGTTGTAATGAATGGGCCTCCAGCAGTGCGTCCAAAGTTGGTTCCTCCATGATACTGTCACAAACCATAAACAGTGAAACTCAAAATTTGGGCTGGCACAATTTAGTCTTCAAAACTTGAGCTGATTAACAAGCAAACCAACCATGTAGTAGTTAATATATGAGCCACCCTTCTGTATGAAGCGAGCAACTGAAAATGCCAAATCTTGAACAGGTCGATGGTGAATTGTGCCGCCAAACTCTGTAAACCTGATCATGTTTGTTGGGTTGACAGATATTAGAAGAATAAATTAGAATACAGTCAGTCAACGTCCGAATATTGGTAAGCTAAAAATCCACTTACCAGCCGCTCCAAGCCTCGGTCCACATGGTAGGCTTGTAAGGTTTGTTGGGAGAGAAGCCATCGCAGTAAAAACCATTACATGCATTTATCTGTCACCAAGATATAAGTAGATGAAACTCAGTGTTTCAAATGCTGAAGCCTAAAAAGAAATGCGAGAATGGAAGCAAGAATTTGTAACTAAATGTCAATATTGATATTCAAGAAAGGGTTCTAGTTCTAGGTATCGGAGTGTCATGGGATCAGCAGAGTAGATTTGGTATGTGAAAAGTGAAAAGAACAAGATAGCTAACCATAGGGTCTGGGGCATCATCTTCCTTGCACATCACCCATGGAACTCCTGTATCCAATGCAACAGCCATTTTGGCAGCCCAATTAATGTAGGCATGACCAGCAGCTCCAAGTGCCTTGCTCTCTGGCCCATACTCATTCTCAATCTGCACAATACAAAACATAAAGAAGAATTCATGAATTATTTATCCTAGAAGAATTCACTGAACGCAAATAGTTACAAGGCCATGCATCAAGAATCAGTACCTGGGAAAGGATGATGGGACCACCTTGTGATGCAAATAGCTTTTCATTTTTCATCATCTGGACAATTTTCTGGGTGAACCCTTGCATTGCCATCTTCCCCCAAGAAAAAAACAGAGAGAAGAGAAGTTTATCCACATTAGCTCTAGTTTGACCACATTCTAACAAAATCTGAAGGCTTTTCAGGAAGAAATACCTTGAATGGCCCATTATTTGTTCTGAAGCTGATACCAGGGACATATTTCAGCCAAACCGGAAATCCTCTGTACAAATGAGAGTCGAATTAAGCACTCAACTTAAAGTTAGGAAATATATGCAACTAACCCAAAAAAGAAAATAATAATAAATTTCTGATATGTAGCATTTACTCCACAAAGCACAGAAGAATTCAGATATAATAACTCTAACAAAAACAAAATAAATTAAATAATTAGAAGATGTACGGTACCCAAAATTCCACTCTGCACAAACATAAGGTCCAATGCGCAGATGAAGGTAGAGCCCTGCTTTCTGTACTGTCTTTATGAACCGTACGAGATCGTATCTCCCCTCAAAATTGTACTAAAGATCAAAATAAAAAGGAGACGGAATTAAGCTAACGTTTCAAAATTGAAGTGACAGCAAAAGTAAGCAGATTGGAACTTAATAGAGCTATGAGCAGATTGGAACTTAATAGAGCTATGACACAGAGGAGATGAAGCATACATTGCCAGGAGAAGGTTCATGACCATTCCAGAAAACGTAGGTGTCAATGACATCCAAGCCTCCGTCTTTGGCTTTCTGTATAAGACCTTCCCACATCTGCACCAAAACCCATTTCATCATTTAACAGGGATCACCAAAAGAAAAGTCACAAAAATCACATTTTTATGATTTTGGGCTAGTAAAAGACAGAGTAACAGAATGAAAGACAGAGAGAGAGAGAGAGAGAGAGAGAGAGAGAGAGTGAAAATACTTCAGGGGTGCTTCTGGGATAGTGAATTGAGCCAGAAATTAGTAATCTTCTCTGGCCATTGATGATAATGGCCTTCTTATCGTAGGTGACGGTGGTGCACTGGATCAGCTCAGAACTTATAAACAAGGTCATCAAGAACAGAGTTAAGAGCTTGGAAACCAAGTGAGTTTCCATGTCTGATATGTGGAGGGAAATTTGAAAAGAGAGCTTTAGAATGCTGGAAATGTTTGGAAAGGCAAAGTGAGAATGAAGCTCTGAGCTTCTGATCTATAACTCTGCAATGACAGAGTGACACTGACAGCAACTCTGCCCGGCCTTTGGTTTGTACGTACAAAAACTAGTTCAAATAGCTGTCTGATACTTACTATTAACTACTTTAATATAGATATGATTGTGTCAGGTTGGAGGTGGAGGGTTGAATTTAATCAATGATATGAAAATAAAAAATGTGACTTTTAATTGTGGTTCAGTCAAAATTCAGGGAACCGAAAAACAAGATAATTCAAACAAACAAAAGCTTCTTGCATTGATTAAATTGCCAAAAAAATGAACGTGAGGTTATTACCAAACGATTTAATTTTGAATTGATTAACCATAAATTAATGAGTCTCTAAATGTCAGTAAATGTGTTGTGAGGTGGAGTAGGTTCATGATGAAACCACCTGCTTTTGAAAAGCATGTAAAACAACAAGCTCTCATGCTTTGATCTAGAAATGGACCCCATCATCCCCCATTCGATTCATCAATTGTGCTCTTTGCTTTGTTTGCTTTGTTTGCTTTGTTTGCTTGCACAGTGCACTACCCAAAACCCATTTCATCAATCATTTATACAATATATATATATATATATATATGGTAATGCTTGCCTGTGAGTCTCTGAGTCTGTCTGTGAGTAAGCAAAGCCTTGTCTTGTATATATGTCCCATTGGGTCGTAGGCCATGTGACATGTGTTTCTGCTATCTATCATTAACCAAACTACATATTTTGGGCGCACACACGTGAATATATATATATATATATATATATGTGTGTGCACCGTCACCTCAGAAGCACTCAGACTCAGAGATAATGTATATTTATTTTCTACCTGTCTCCCACAAATATTCAAAATCAAAAAGGGAAGAGGAAATGAGGTTGATGGAGGAGGAGCCAGAAGAGAAGACTAGACAGACAGAGGGGGCCATTGCTTTGTTGGATCGAATATTGTGAATTCTTTGACATTGGCCCACTTGTTGACTCTCTGTAGTCTGTACATAAAACTCCTCCTAGGGTTGGGTTGGGTTGCTTTTTCTGTAATAAAAACCCCAACCATTTTTTAACTCTCTCTCTCTCTCTCTCTCTCTCTCTCCCCCTGTTTAGGCAAGGCAATGCAATTATGCAATTATGCAATTGTGCAACCGGCGCAGAGTTTACTTCATTTTCACTCTTCATTTAATAGGGGAGGTACCCTTATCCTTATGTTTAAGGCACCATATACAATATTCAAGGCTAAATTGTTGGAAATTGGCAATCCGTAAAAAATGTATATAATGTTTGTTTCTCATGATTTCAATAATAAAATAGAAAAACAATAATTCTCTCCTTGAATCAGCACTGTGTTTGCAGATAGATGATGGGGGTTAGCTTTTTCACTTCAATTACAAGCATGAAATCAATCATATTTAAAGAAATGACTTTTATCTTTTTTCACATGCAACTGTGGACGTTTGATTGATCATTCTAAACTCTAAAAGCGGGATTTGATATCGTCGCCATTTCAATTTTGGTACAAAAAGGTGGCCAACCAACGATGCAACTTTGTCTACTCAAGGACACAAGAAAAAGAAGGAAAAAGAAGATTACGAATGATTTATTAAACAAAGGAAAAGAAACACGGAAGAAGGACAGATGGTGCTTTTGACTAGAGAGTATGGTTTATGGGAATGTGGGTGGGTCCCAAATAAATGAGTTTAGAAGCGTGTAACGGGCCACCTCTCAGGGCCGTTTGTTTCTTCCGTCTACATGTGAATTTGCAATTTGGTGGCTTGCTAGCTAGATCTACGTTCCGTTTACGTCGGTGCTGCGGACCAACCAAGCATTTAGCTGTCCCAGGTTTTGGTTTATCCGGGAGGGATGCTACTCTGCTCTGGTTTTATCGCTACTCTTATTATTAATATTATTTCACCTTTCTTTTTCTTTTAAGGTGATTTTAAAATAAATAAAAATACATGGTTTCATGGGCCTGTGTTTACGACAGCTGAAGAATATGAAACAGAGAATCGGGCTTCAGTTTCTTTTTTATGTTGGGCCGAATCGGAGTGTCCTTTCTCTTAAATCTAAAAGGCCCAATTCAAGATTCCTTCCTGTTTTCAAATTCTGAACAAATTCCTTTTTAAAAACCTTTGACGAATGAACAATGATGGGAAATGTAACACTATGGATGTCGAACTGATCACGATATATGCCATGCAGAAAGATATGTAATATATATATTCGAAAATTCCGAATAAAGGAGTTACTGCGTAATCTTCTGTCTCCCAATTTGAATTCGTTGCATAAAATGTATGGGAAAAATTCCAGACCGTCACGAATGCTTGAAAGCTAGCCAAAGATAAGACTCTTTTTTCTGTTTCTTATCAGGCACAAGGGATATTTTGAGCAATCATTTGATTCTTTAACTTGGAAGCCATTCGCTCCCTCCATAGTGGAGAAGAGAATTAGCTTCTTCCTCTCCACAGTCTAATCCACCTATAAATAAATTATTTCCCTTAATTCATGCACCTTCACACCTAAAGCATCCTTTTTGTCTGTATAAATTCCTAGCTCACCCATCCCTCCTTCACACCGCAACATTCAATTTCATCCTTCACACTCTCACGCTCACCCGCTCTGCTCACTGCACCAAAATGGTAACTGTTTGTTTTGTCTAATTCATTCATGTTATTGTTCTTCAACTTAATTCCACTCGTCACTTAATTACAACTCAACTGACTAATTAGAGTTGGACTATATTAATGCATGGTAGCAGAGTACTTTTGAAGGATCCGAGAACAAACTGGTATCAGTTGGGCCGTGGGGAGGCCAAACCGGGCTCATTTGGGAAGATGGAGTTTACTCAACGGTGAAGCAGTTGGTGATAGCTCATGGAGCGGCCATTGATTCCATTCAGGTTGAATATGATGAGAAAGGGACCTCATTTTGGGCTGAGAGGCATGGTGGCAATGGAGGCTGGAAAACAGACACGGTTACTTCATTACCAAGTCACCATTACTTTATTAATCCCATAGAGTACATGACATGATTAATTAAAGCTAGCTAATCACATAATCTTTTGCAAATTTTTTGTCTCCTCCTTACTACTGCAGGTCAAGCTTGCTTATCCGGAAGAATTTTTAACTTCAATTGAGGGACATTATGGTAAGATTAGTGAATGGGGACCGGTCTCAATTCGATCACTTAAATTCAAGAGCAACAAAAAAACTTACGGACCATTTGGAATTGAACAAGGAACCTATTTTTCGCTCCCAGCGGCAAGAGCTGGGAGTAGTAAGATTGTTGGGTTCTTTGGCAAGTCTGGTTGGTTTCTGGATTCAATAGGAGCTTACCTAAAGCCTATTCAGAATGATCAAAACCAACCCTCAAAAACTATGCTTCAAACACAGTCTTATATGATTGGTGGTACTGATCAGAACCTTGCCGGCTACTCAGTCCTCCAAAACTGTGATGTGTTTTTTGCTATAAGACCCAAGGATGACTACGCTGCTAACCCAGCTGCAGTACCAGTACCCAACAATAAGCTCTCAATGCAATTTTCTAATTCTGGAGAATTAAGTGATGTAGAAACCAAGTTCAAGGTAAGAGAAACTTGCCTTTAAAAGTTCAAGGTTATTCAATTTGAAAATGTGCATTAACATAAAGTTCTTCATTTTAGACGCCAAGTATTGAGAAGGTTCCCGCAATAGCTGCTGAAGGGGTGGTAACGTATGGTCCGTGGGGAGGGACAGGTGGGTTTGAATTTGATGATGGAGTTTATTCAGGAATTAGACAAATCAAGTTATCAAGAAACGTGGGAGTTGTAATATACATAAAGGTTCAGTATGATTGCGACGGTGAAGCTGTATGGGGAGCCAGACATGGCGGGACTGGAGGTTATAAAAGTGACAAGGTGAAATTTGTCTCAAATTAAGTATAGTTTTACACTATATATTGATTTATGGTATCTGTTTTTTATTTTTATTTTTTCATTTGATTTGAATGCACATCAACGTTCACTTGCAAATGTTTTGTTTTACACTATATATGTGCAGATAGTTTTTGATTTTCCGAACGAAATCCTGACGCACATAACAGGAACATTTGGGGCTGCCATGATGATGGGGCCTAATGTGATTAAGTCCCTCACTTTCCACACGACGAAGAAGAAGCACGGGCCATATGGAGAAGAACAAGGAACCCCTTTCACCACCAAGCTTAGGGAAGGCAAGATTGTTGGAATTCATGGAAGGAAGGGTCTCTTCTTAGACGCTCTTGGGGTGCATGCCACAGAAGGGAAGGTCAATGTCGAGACTGAGACACAGACACCACCTGTCACAAATACTCTTAATAATTGCACTGCAATCATCCCAAAGGAGCCTGCAGGGGCCATCACAGAGGTAGACAATCCTCACTGGTCTAACAAGCTGCTAATGACAAACAGAGGAAAAGTTGAAGAGGTAATTAAGTTTAATCTAATTCCATGCATATATAATTAGTAGATAATACAAAGATTATACACGTGCTAATTGGATAGGTAATTCTGTGTTGGTGGCCAGGTTGCTTGTGGGGTGATAAAAGAGCCAACCCCAAGTGGACCAGGGCCATGGGGTGGAGATGGAGGCAGAGCATGGGATGATGGAGTATTTTCTGGGATTAGGCAGATTCATTTGACAAGAGCAGCAGAGGGCATTTGCTCAGTGCAGATTGAGTATGATCGAAACGGTCAATTCATTTGGTCCGCTAAGCATGGAGGCAATGGAGGAACTGCCCCACATCGAGTACAAATTAAATGCTTTAATGAACATCTTGATCAAGCGAATTTAATCTCAATTTGTATGTGACCATCTAACAAATTATTACTTGATCAATTTGTTTTGCAGATTAAATTGGAGTATCCTCATGAAGTGCTGACTTGTATATCTGGGTATTATGGTTGCATTAGTAAAAACGAGCGACCTCAAATTATAAAGTCCTTGACATTTTATACCAGCAGAGGCAAGTATGGTCCATTTGGGGAAGAAGTTGGGACATTTTTCACTTCAACTACCACAGAGGGCAAGGTGGTGGGCTTGCATGGCAGGAGCAGCTTGTATTTGGATGCCATTGGAGTTCATATGCAACATTGGCTGGGAAGTGCCCAGAAAACCTCCAAGATCTCTCTCTTCAAGAAATACTGATCAATATGTCTCAGTCTCAGTCTCAGTGCTATAATTGGAGCTCACACAGCAATAAATAAATAACAAGATTTTGTCGTACAATTTCTATTCCTCCTCAGTGTCTTTTTCCTGATATGAAATTCCAGGATTAGCAACCAATCAACCTGATCCGACAAGATGAAGACGTTGTAAAAGGAGGCACAACATGCAGTGTAGAGCTATATGAAGCAAAGAATTAAGACGAATTCGAAGAAAGCATACTTACAGATGAAGATTCTACATTGAATTGCTAATCTCTATCTATCAGAATTAAAGTCTTTGGATTCACAGAGTGTTTGTGTATAGTAGTTTGTTAAGTAGGGGCAAGTGCTTTTGCCTCAAGTAGGCTTTTAAAAGCATAGTTTGTTAAGTAAAGGCAAGTGCTTTTGCCTCGAGGTTTGAGTAGATTGGCTTCGGTTTTGACTGTCATTCCAAAATATATTTCAATGCAAAATTTTATGAGATATTTAGTCATATACTCATTCTTAGCACTAATAACATAAATAAATCCTATATCATTTAATTTCTATAAACAAACAAAAAAAAATTCAAAAAATGACAGCTGGCCCTATTGAATTGAATTTTAATTATTAAATTATTTTGATACTGAGTATTTTGGGTTTTTTGTGAGGTTAGGATTGGGGTTGTTTTAATAAATTGATGGCAATTTTGTAAGTTATAAGAAGTTAAAAGTCTCTTTGTTAGGTTATAAATGGCTTTTGGGTATATTTCTAAAGTCCATTTTATATAGGGTATTTTTAGAATTTGGGCCCCTATATTGGATATAATAGTGAATCTCTCTAATCTTATTGTTCCAATTGGCTCTTGAACTTTCCATCCCAAATAAATATGCCATTGTAATAAATAATAAAACATTCATATATAATTGGCATGAGGCATCATATGGGAACTAATATCCATATTATACATAAAGCATTCAGTTATCTTAAAAGAAACGCATAAAAGTTATAAACTAGTGAAACAGGAAGGAGTTTCATGGTCTCCTCCACATAGAATGACAGAAGTTGGGCAGTATCAGTAGAAGTAACAGTACGTAGCAGTACAAGTAGCAGTAGCACTCTCAGAAGAAGTAGCAGTAGCGATAGCAGTAGCGCCGCTGGGGCAGGTATCACTGGTGGGACAGGAATCATCGGTGGGGGAGGCAACAGCGGCATGCTTCCCTACTTTGGTCCGTAACTCGTCTTTCTTAGCACCCACAACCTTGTACACTACCTTGCCTTTCCTTGAGGAAGAGGAAGGTCGGCACTGCATACCACACCCCACTTTTCAGAAACAGTCTTCAGTTCATCCACGTACACCTTTAGGAACGTTACTTCTGGGTTCTTCTTAGCCAACTCCGCCAAGATTGGGGCGATCAACTGGCAAGGTCCATAAGACCAAGCAGTGAAATCCACCACCACCTATTAAATTAAAGACATCAAATTAATGTATTAGTTAATCAAAGTATAAAACCAATTCCACAACCAAAATGTTAAAGGGCACCTAGGTTTTTAAGCCATTTGCAAATTAAAAAACCTCTATCTAGAGTCGGACAAAATTTTTTATATTTTGAAACGTAAGCACTGGAATACACCCAATTCTTGCTCTTGATTTCAAAATTTGGAACTAAATTTCAAGGCACAAACAATTTTCAATACGGTGAACAAGAAAATAAAAAATTCCCCATGATCACATAATACAAAGGGAATATTGTAAGACAATATCTTGTCTTAACCACAAAATGAGGTCTTCTAATCACATGAGGAGTCAAAGAGTTTGTATTGATCAAGAAGTACTGTCCAAACATATCTGCAGCTATAGTCTGAGTGCAATTTGATTAGAATACCAAAGCTTTGAGGGTTCATAGTCTTATATGGATTAAAACAACCTATCCTAATGCAATCCGGTTTGCTTAAATGTTTCTTGATGGGCAAGACACTTCGAGTAAGGTTAACTGTTTTTTATTTTTTTTTATTTTTTTATTTTTATAATCAATATTTTCGTTTTTTTTAGCATTATTTTTAGTTATAGTGAATTGATGGAAATGTCCTTAAACTTATAGAGACTAAAATTGAATTTTTTGTAAGCGAAGAAAAAAGAGTGCAAAAAGATATAGAAGTGTGATTGAAGATTTGAAAATTGAAATACCAGTCTCTTGTTCTCGTTTCCCCTACGGAGCTGCTCTTCCCATGCGTCAGTAGTGTTGCAGTCGATGACTTGATTTTCTTCAGCCATTTTTGCTTTGCTTTCTCTCTCTCAAAGGATTGTGATATTCTCAAGCAAGCTAGGTGTTTTTGTTTTTTGGCGACAAATGTAATGGGCTCAGCCGCAGCGTATATATACAGCCCACAGTCGAACTTAACCAAGAGGTCAGATGTTTAATGTTTATTGCGGAAATGCCATTGCCATTAGGTGGCTGAGGCATGTGACGTGAGGCATGCCCATGTGTTGGATGGAACGTTAAATAGATTTTGTCGTTTATTGAGAAAAGTCGAAATGAACTGGACAAAGGCTCAAAGAGAATAGATTAAAGCCCAAAAGAGTATAATAAAATAGAATTTGGTCAAATGTTACTCCCTTTGTACAATAAAGGCAATTAAAATTAAAATTTGATCCCTTCCTTCTAAAAAAGAAAATTCTCTTTAGTCTTTCACTTTGAATTAAAATTTGATCCCATGCATTATTATGCCAATGCAATGGCGAGGAGGGGGATTTGTGGGAGATCACCACCCACCAATTGGCTAAGGTAATGTTCTTTCTTTCTCAAGTTAAACCAGGACATTGTTGACGAGTCCTTACTTAGTTAGAATTTTAGTTAGTTACTCATTTGTCTAGTCCTATTATATCTTTTTCTTCCATTAAACAAGCCCACATGAATTGGGAACACATGCATTAATTTTCCTGCTTGGTAGTGTGAACAGTTATACCTAGTATATTATACAAAGGCTTTTTTATTTTTTCACAAGTCTTTTTACTTTAAATTATTTTTATATTACTCCATTTACTTAAGTTTACAATGTAAATAAGGAAGTATCCCCCATTTGAATTCAATAAAAAATACTAGAAAATCAAATTCCCAACAAATCAAAATATGAAAACCCAATTTTAGTATAAGATACAATTTATACAAATATTGATGCCTCAATAAGTCAATGTATACTTTATACTAAAATCTCATAAGTTAAGTCATTCTCTCTCTTCAGATTTAGGAACTCCTAAAGGTATCCCTATTTTAGGAGCTAGATAAGAAGCATAGTTCGAGGTGTGGTTACAATGCCTAATAAGAGCATTTACAATGGACTTTCTAAACCACCTTCTTAGACAAATTTTAGGGAAGATTTAAAAAAATACTACTCCAACTATACTCCATATCCACCTCCTAAAATAGGGAGATATCTAGGAGCTTATAAATATGATGAGAGAGAAATGACTCATAATGGCTTCTTATAATTTAATGTTGCTTTATTTTATGAGTATTTTAAACTTTTAATTAAGGCTAACTATTTTATCTATTTTTTATATAGAGATTGACCAATTAAAAAATAGTTATAGCATTTATGAGTCCTTAAACTAGAGAGTATATGATTGGAGTTTAAATTTTATAGAGAGCTACTAAAATAGATTATATATATTTTTAACTAAATTTTAACTAAAAAATAAAGAGCATAATTATAAATGTTCTAATGTCCTTCACTTGGGAATTGGGATTGCAACACAAAAGTCTTGTCCAAGGAGAAGGACCGATACCAACTGTTGAGGCCCAAAAATCCAAGGGGCTTAGCCCAAATTAATTCCTGGCCCAACACAGATAAAAGGGTACAAAAAGGGCTTAATCGAAACAAAAGAGAATTTGTGGGACCCACTAATACATGCTACCAGCCACGTGTCATGCCAAGCAAGCACATACAAAGGGGCCAAGAGTATGCCAACATTACAAGACCACTATCACATATCTCTTCGATATTACTTGGCCCAATTATAAGCCTATCACGGCATAATAAAACTCAAGCACAAGCGTAGGCATCATACGAAAAGAGTCACTATTCTAGCACTAAGCTATGTCACAAGTTTAAGTGGGCCCAAGCCACAAAATTAACCGGGGCTTACTGAGAAGGTTGTGGTATGGAAGGGAACAAGAAATCACAGGGCCCATTGAGGGTTCGAGGAATGCAAGTTTTAAGCCACTTGGGAGGCATTGAAACTCAAGCCCGTTCCTAGAACTCAAATACATGGGTTAGCATGAAAGAGAAGAAAAAACAGTCCAAAAACTTTAGGAAATCACTTAGTAACCCAGCCCATATCAATAGATTGCTTAAAAGGATAAAGCTGTTTCCAGCAGGCTGACGAAACCTACTGCACGCTGGAAGCAACAAGCTAAAGACCCAATACCATGTGTACAAGCCCAGCCCAGCGACTTGCAAAGGTCTGGCGCTAAGTCTCATTCCTGTTAGAACTCCAAACAACAGTCACAAGGGAGCCATGGCAGGACCAGAGGAAATCCACGGGGGTGAGAGGAGTGTCCATCAGATAAAAGGCTGCATCTTTCCTCTTTTCCTCTGTAAGCTCTGTCTTGAAAAACCATAAGGAAAGCAGGTGGCGCCTTCCTCTCTATGGGAAGATCTAGCTGCGTCAAACCATTGGAACCATAAAACGTTCTTTACCCATGCTTCTTGGATGGAGAAATTCATCAAGGATGATAAAAGGGAAGAGGGCAATGAAAAGAGGAGAAAAATTGAGGCAAAATTATCGTGGCTATAAAAGGGGCCTTTTCTACCTAGCGAAAATCATCATCTAGAGCCTGACAAAGCTTTGTCAAGCAACCTGGAATTTACTCGAGCCACCCAATCTTTCTTTTTCGTTTGTTTTTTCTATTCTTCCTTTAGGATAGAAATCGTTCTAGTTCTTCTCTGTCTTACTTCATATTTTCACTCCCAGTAGGAAATCCATATATATATATATATATATATCTCTCACACACATACAAATTGCTAAACTTGTGAAAGCTTAGCTCCCATGCCACAGGCTCCTCAAGCTAAGCCATTAATTGATTTTATCATGCTTATTTGGCAATTGGTGGAGAGAACCTGAGGGTGTTCTTCTAAGGTTTATCAAATCTTTCAAAAACTCCTTCAGGAGCTTGGTTCTAGAACTCGGACACTTGGGGAATTTCTGTGTGAGCTCTTCTTACGGCAGCTCAAACTCATTCGTCAGGCTGCTGGAACAAAAAGACCATTACACCAACCAACTTAATTGTACTAGTAACAATTTAATATCAAAACTCGTCAGCTCAACATCCAATTTGTACTGTATACATAGACATATATAGATCAACATGATATGATATGCATGTGTCGGATACAGACAGTAGGAACCCCCTTTATTAATTCATAATTAATGAGTTCATATCATACGCAATTCCTTTTTTTTTTTTTTTTGGTGAAATATGCAATTCTAATAGTCTTTGATCAATGATTTTTCATTATCTCAACATTTAGAAATAAAATCCAGTTCTGCTTTTGGTTTTATTTTTCAGGTATAAGGAATATACTTTCATTTCTTAGGAGGTAGATATATTATGATTTATGAGAGACCACCACCACCACTTGGCTAAGGCGATGTCCTTTCTCTCTCAAGCTAACCCAGCACATTGTTTATGAGTCTTTACTTAGTTAGAATTTTGGTTACTTACTTATTTATCTAGTCCTATTATATCTTTTTCTTCCACTAAACAAGCCCACATGAACTGGGGACACAAGCATTAATTTCCCTACTTGGTAGTGTGAGTAGTTCGATTTGGTATATTATATACAAAGGATTTTTATCACAAATGTCTTGTGTTTTTACTTTAATTTATTTTTATATTACTCCATTTACTTAAGTTTACAATATAAATAAGGAAGTACTCCCAATTTGGATTCAATTAAAAATACTAGAAAATCAAATTCCCAACAAATCAAAATATGAAAATCCAGTTTTTGTCTAAGATACAATTTATACCAATATTGATACCTCAATAAGTCAATGTATACTTTATACTAAAATCTCATAAGTCAAGCCATTCTCTCTCCTCAGATTTAAGGGTCAGTTTGGCATTGCTGTGCTGTAAAAATAATTACTGTGAGATAAATCAACTGTGAGAGAAAGCAGTTTAGTGTTTGGTAAACTTTTTATTATAAGTGCGGTTGGTTAAAAAAAAAAAAAGAAGAAATTATTTTTGGAATTTTGAAAGTTTCATTAAACCCAGCACATCTTTAGAACTGATTCCCACATAATTAAAAAAATGAAAGCATCTCATCACATGCTTTCCCTAATTGCTTTCTCTCACAACAATTATTCAAAATAAGTGATTTTATTATCTTTTACCAAACAAGCTGAGATTTCAAAATTTTCAAAATAATCACTTATAACCCCAAATAAGTAATGTCAAACATGCACTTAGGAACTCCTAGATGTCTCCCTATTTTAGCAGCTAGAAAAAGAGCATGGTTGGAGGTGTGGTTACAGTGCCTAAGAGCATCTATAATGGGCTCCCTAAACCACTTCCTTAAATAAATTTTAAGGAGGATTTAAAAAAATACAACTTCAACTATGCTCCTTATCCACCTCCAAAAATAGGGTGATGTCTAGGAGCTCCTAAATCTGAATAGAGAGAAAGAACTCTTAGTGGCTCCCTATAATTTAATGATGCTTTATTTTATGAGTATTTTAAACCTTTAATTAAGGCTAAATATTTTTTATTTATTTATAGAGACGGACCAATTGAAAAATAGTTATAGCATTTATGAGTCCTTAAACTAGATAGTATATGATTAGAGTTAAAATTTTATAGAGAGCTCCTAAAATAGATTTTGTATATTTTTAGTTAAATTTTAATTAAAAAATAGAGAGCATAATTGTAGATACTCTAGTTCTTCACTTGGGAATTGAGATAGCAACACGAAAGTCTTGTCCAAGGAGAAGGACCAATACCAACCAACTTAATTGTACTAATAACAATTTAATGCCGAAACTCATCAGCTCAACATCCAATTTATACAGTATACGTAAACATATAGATCAACGTGGTATGATATGCTTGTGTCGGATACAGATAGTAGGACCCCATTTATTAATTCATGATTAATGAGTTCATATCATACGCAATTTTTATTTTTTTATTTTTGTCGAAATATGCAATTCCAATAGTCTTTGATCAATTATTTTTCATTATCTCAACATTTAGAAATAAAATCAAGTTCTGCTTTTGATTTTATTTTTCGGGTATAAGGAATATACTTTCATTTCTTAGGAGGTAGATGTGTTATGATTTAATGTAATTTTTTTCTCATAAACCAACTTTATCTAGATTACTAGCTAGTGGTTTGGGATATAGTAGTGTGGATTATCAAGCAAGCGCGTGTACTTTTTTTATAATTTTTTTTCCCTTTTGTCTTCTTTGGGCGTATTTGCAATTTTCTATCAAAGCACAACTATTATGACCAATTAACATCTACGAGAAAAACGTCCTGTAGTGACCCCTAAAAAGTGTCTAGAAACATAATACTTGACGGCTAAGAAACCGTCAAGAGTACCACTGTCAGGAAGGGGTATCTGATTTATTGACCTTTTTTTAACTGTCAAGTAATCTTTCTGCTTGATGCCTTTTAACGATCAAGTAACACTTCATTGATAGTTCTAAGTATCAATATTGTAGTTATTTGACAGATAATGAGTGTCAATTAAAAATTGCTTAACTTGTAAGAACCGTCACATGGAAGATTACATGACGGCTAAAATGCATCTTGTAATTTGTTGTTTTTCACATATCCAGGAAATTCACTACTAGAAGGACATGAATCAAAATTATGACCAAAACCATTATAAATTGAACAAACCTCAACCGGTTTTGGAGTGACGTTCTTGGACATCATAGGATCCATCTTCTTGTTGAGGGCGGCAATTTTGCTTCCCATGTCATCATATAGACGTCTCTCGCCTTGCTCCTAATATCACCAACAAAATCTAGTTTTGTTTGTTTGCTAATAAGTGAAACTTGATTGAAAGACAAAGATAAAACAATCACCAACAAGAACAAACGCATCAAGCAAACCACAAGACGGGGTAAGAATAACCAGAGGGAATCAACCAAGTCTCTCAGTAAAAAGAGGAAGAAAAATCCAATCTCACAACCAGAGGGAATCGTCCCTATGTAAACACCACCTCTCACTGTCAGAGTCTCTTCTCATTCATTATCATAACCAGAGGGAATTGTCTCTATGAAAAATCCAATATTCCATGTTACAACTACTTGGAATTAGTTTAATATTAAATAAATAAATATATATATATATATATATAATCGAAATGGTAGAATAAGTTATTGGGCAGAAGTTATCAAAAAGCAAAAAATGAAAAGAAAAAATAGGAATACTAGCAACCTTCTCTCTAACCTTCTCCTTTGGACCTTCTCTATTTTTTGCTTGACATGTGTCATTCTCCTTACTCTTAAAACAATGTCATTAATATATTATACAAACTAACTTTTACTTTCTAAGTTTACCCTTATTAAATGTATTCAATTTATCCAAACAAATTTCACAACTTTCTTACCATCTTATTAAATTTTTTTAACGTCAATTATTTTTTTTAAAGAAAATTTTTGCTTCTGAAAAAAAAGAGGAAATGTTCCTTTTAAAAATATAAAATAAAAAAAAATCTAAACTTGACTTTAAAAAAAAAAAAGGGACATTTCCTCTTTTTTTTTTTTTTTTTTTAAAGAAAAATTTTTTTTAAAAAAAAAAATTTTTTTTTAAAAAAAAAAAAAAATATTTGTGACCCTGCCATAACCACGCACAAGTAGTTTGCTACCATTTCTTTACCTACCTATCCATGTTCCCCTCCTATAAAAACAAAATTCACATTTTTTGCAGCACAAGATCAAGGCCATCCAATAACTATGGTAGGAAACTCCAAACCCCATTTGAGAGAAGGTTGCTAGTATTGCCAACAAAAAAAAATGAAGTAGTAAACAGAAGAGAGGCTGCAGAAGATTGGACAAAATCAATTCATATGGGCATGCGTCACGTCACATAATATGAATGCCTCGGCCACCTAATGGCAATGGCATTTCCGCAATAAACATTAAAAATCTGACCTCTTGGTTAAGGTCGACTGTGGGCTGTATATATACGTTGCGGCTGAGCCCATTACATTCGTCGACAAAATAAAAAAATAAAAAAAAATAACTTGTAATAACCTAGCTTGCTTGAGAATATCGCAATCCTTTGAGAGAGAGAAAGCAAAGAAAAAAGGGCTGAAGAAAATCATGTCATCGACTGCCACACTACTGACGCATGGGAAGAGCAGCTCCATAAGGGAAACGAGAACAAGAAACTGGTATTTCAATTTTCAAATCTCCAATCACACTTCTATATTTTTTTTGCACTCTTTTTTCTTTGCTTACAAAACATTTAATTTTAGTCTCCATAAGTTTAAGGGCATTTCCATCAATTCACTATACCTAAAAATAATGATAAAAAAGAAAAAGAAAAAAGAAGAAGTTAACCTTACTCAAGTGTGTTGCCCATCAAGAAACAATTACGCAAATCGGATTGCATTAGGATGGGTTATTTTAATCCATATAGGACTATGAAGTTATGAACCCTCAAAGCTCTAGTATTCTAATCAAATTGCACTTAGACTACAGCTGCAGATATGTTTGAGCAGTACTTCTTGATCAATACAAACTCTCCGACTCCTCATATGATTAGAAGACCTCATTTCATGGCTAAGACAAGATTGTCTTACAGTATTTCCTTTGTATTTTGTGATTAGCTTCAATGGGGAATTTTTTATTTTCTTGTTCACCGTATTGAAATTGTTTGTGCCTAGAAATTTAGTTCCAAATTTTGAAATCAAGAGCAAGAATTGGGTGTATTCCAGCGCTTACATTTCAAATAGAATTAATTTTGTCTGACTCTAGATAGGGGTTTTGTAATTTGCAAATGGCTTAAAAACCTAGGTGTACGGTTATGTCCTCCATCTCTTTAATATTTTGGTTGTGCTTGTGGAATTGGTTTTATACTTTGATTAACTAATACATTAATTTGATGTCTTTAATTTAGAGTGCTGCTAAACGAACCTTAAAATTAACTAAGTACACCTTACTATAAAAGTATATATTGAATTACTGATTTACCGTAATATAAAAGACCAAAAAGGATATATGGAATTGTGAAAAAAGTATAATTTTAATAAGTACACCCTACTAATCATATTCAACCCTAATCAAGAGATTACTTGGTGCCCATCTTTGTGATTCGCGAGTAAGAATGGTTTGGAGCAGATGAAGCCTTCCTTCTTTCTTCTCAAAACTAATTCTCTGCATATTGATTGGAGAGCTTCTTGCTGTTTCTTGATGTGAGTAACAGTTTTCAATCTATTATGTACACTTTAAAATCCAATTAGTCTTTAATTTTGCATATAAGCTTGTATACATGGTGAAACTGTGTGCTCCTGCGTGCTTCTCACCTCCACTCAAACTTGAGCCTCTTGGTCCTATGTTGGTTTTGTATCCATCTGGGAGATTTCTGATAAATTCATTTGCACTTGCAGTTCGTGCTGCATCCCCTACCATTTCCATGTTAATTTTTGCCAACAGATCCCTGTACCCAATATTTTCAGCAACTGTTCTTGGAAAAAGTGTCTAATACATACAAAGTTACCAACATAATATTATGATTTGGACAACAAATAAAATATTATAAAAGATTTATTAAAAATAAAGAAGAAAGAAATTGTATTTCGGTGACACATCTACTGGACAACTTTTAGAAGGGTGCTGAAAATCATATGAAAAGTCAAAGACTTATAAACACTATTAAAAAAATCAAGCTGAAAATCAACTATAAAATAATGCTACAAGTATTAGGGTGTACTAGATGTATTTTTGGTAGTTCTATAGGATGTACTTAGTTAATTTTACATTTTAATTAAAATATTATGGTGTACTTAGATCATAGCGTGTACTCAGTTAATTTTAGGGTTCGTTTAGCAGTACTCTTAATTTAATAGCCGGTGGTGGATTTCACGGCTTGGTCTTATGGACCCTGCCAGTTGATCGCCCCAATCTTGGCAGAGTTGGCTAAGAAGAACCCAAAAGTAACGTTCCTAAAAGTGGACGTGGATGAACTGAAGACTGTTTCTGAAAAGTGGGGTGTGGATGCAGTGCCTACCTTCCTCTTCCTCAAGGAAGGCAAGGCAGTGGACAAGGTTGTGGGTGCCAAGAAAGACGAGTTACGGACCAAAGTAGAGAAGCATGCCGCTGCTGCCTCCCGCATTGATGATACCAGCCGCACCGGTGCTATTGCTAAGGCTACTGCTACTGCTTCTAATAGTGCTACTGTTACTGCTACTACTACTAGTACTGCTGGTGCTACTCTTACTGCTACTCCTGCTGCTGCCTAACTTCCATCATTCTCTGTGGAGGAAACTCCTTTCTGTTTCACTAGTTGTTTATAACTTTTATGGTTTTCTTTTAAGACATCTGAATGCTTTATGTATATGGCTACTAGTTCCCATATGATGCCTCATGCCAATTGTCTATGAATGTTTTTTTTTTTAAATTACAATGCCATATTTATTTGGGATGGAAAGTTCAAGAGCCAATTGGAGCAATAAAATGAGTCTTGGCTCCCTTTGCCAACCAATTTCCCTAAATGATCCTGCCCGTTCCTTGTAAATCGGGGGATCAATTATCCTGCTAATGAAACTACATGGATATTGATGAAAGGAACACAACCTGTTTTCCTGGAGGCCAATGGCTATGGCTTTTGATTTAAAGTGAATTCTGCTTTTACCTTTCTAGCTTCAACGTTACCAATATGGTTTTGAGAACGGTGGTGATCAACTATCTCAAGTTAAGAGATTGTAAATTGGGCAAATATTAAACCAATTAATCTTGGGTCTTGGATTAAATTACCGTTGGTGATAATTAAATTCCAATTTGTCAAAATTTCTTTGGGTAATTGGTTTATTTTTACCCCACTTGCTTTGAACAATGTTTTCAAATGCATGCGTAGGCCTGCATTGACGCGTGTGTGGGATTGCACGCCGGAGCGAGGCGATAGCAAATCGCCTCAGGCATTCCCTTGTTTAGTTGTTTGCAAGCTTAGCGTGCACGTTGACGGCGAGGCATACGAAGGCTCTGTAAAGCAATGATTTAAGGCTCAGGTAAGCGCATCTGCTCGAGGAAGAAGAAGAAGACGCGAGAAAAGAGGCGAATCTACGACGTCGTCCTTTCATAGAGTCCTATTATTTTTTAACGCTTGTTTTGATATTATCTATGCTTTAGCTTTTAACACGGCCCCTGCCCCTCTTTAAAAAGAAACGATGTGTTTAATTAGCAGTTTTATTTGCTCCATAAAAAATAAATTAACCTTATTATTTTAAATATATCCTAATGTATTTTTTCTTCTTGTAACTCTTAGTGTTCAATTGAATTTCTCGTACGTTTGTTGGAGGTCTAGTTGGGCTTTTATAGCGCTTCGAGTCCTTAGGTTTAGCCCCACTTTCCTAGCTTTGCGCATCCCATCCTCCACTTCATGGTCATGGGGTTCAGATGACCAGGTTGTGACTCCCTCGCTCCACAGTTCTCTAGTGACAGGGAAGTTCGATCACCCCACGTCTTTTAATCATAGCATATGGGTTAAGCCATAACACGTGAGATTGGTCCCACAAACTCTAATTCTGATAGATAGAGATTAGTCAATTCAACGTAGAATCTTCATCTGTAAGTATGCCTTCTTCGAATTCGTCTTAATTCTTGGCTTCATATGTATAGCTCTGCATGCTGTGCCTCCTTTTACAACGTCTTCATCTTGTCGGATCGGGTTGATTGGTTGGCTGTAATTCCGGTTGAACAATCAGCTTCAACTGATAGCCGCTTGAGTACATTCGGGCATGGATCTGTCCCGAAGATGCTATTCGATACAGTAACTAAGCAACTCTCACGGCAGATACAATTCTGCTAAACACGTAAAGGGATATTAATAAATCTGTATTTTATCAAAAGAATGTGCATCTGCGAGTTCACTATACAAGTACGAGAGGTGAAAAGATTGTAGTTCACTCCACAATGGCATGAGAGTTGGTCGCATGACACGTTCCTTGCTGGAAACTCCCACAAGTTGCAGTAGGTAGGAGTTCCAATACTTGAAAACTTAATGCTTGAGATAGACTGCCCTGGCAAACACTGCAGATGAACCTGGGCCTGGTGAAGCGTTTTCGATTCTTCATGGCTGTGTCGATATCAAAATTTTCAGCGTTTGGGTGGTGTACTTGTAAATCAGCACAAACCCGTCACTGATCTCTTCACCAGGGTTATCTTTGATGGATCCCCACCGAGTTCCTCAACCACTACCACCAGATTTTGTGTTGGCTTTAACCAGGACCAGGAACATGGTACCTTGAAATCCTAACCTTATACCATTTCAACGTCTGTTTGGTTCGGGTAGCTAGTGAGCCTCGGATCCAATCAACTGATGACCCTCCATTTGGAGAGACCAAATCCATTGCTTCTCCTTCAAGGCCAACCTGTTTGGAAGATTTTCCTATGAGATTAAAACCACAGAAAAAAGGAAGAAGAAAAAAAGAGATGGAGATAATCGTGAGTGGCCAAAATGGATTTGAACTTAAAGGTTTTACCATATTCATCAATGGGAGCATCATAGTCATAACTGTGGTTGTAAACTTGTAATGAATGGGCCTCCAGCATTTCGTCCAAAGTTGGTTCTTCCATGACATTGATACTGCCATAAACCATAAACACTGAAACTCAAAATTAGAACATTGACTGAGAAGTGGCCAGAAAACCTCCAATTATGTCTCAGTGCCATAATTGGAGCTCACACATCAAAAATCAAATAACAAGCTTTTGTCGTACAATTTCTATTTCTCCTGAGTCTCCTTTTCTTACTCTGAAATTCCAGTTTAGCAATTTCTGTATTAGTGTTAGGCTTTTTTTGTACATTACTACGTCGTTTTATACATACGTAAGCCGTCCACTTGTAATGACAGAGCAAACCATGCTTCAACGTGGCGAGATATTACTGGCTGGATCTTAGCATGATAGAGCAAACCACTGCAGCGGATCAATCCTTCCCTCTATCCGTTGCCATTTGGGTTCCACTCTCCATGGACACAACCGTGCAATCTTCAATCTCTGCTTCACCTCACCCTCCAGGCCAGGCCATGAACTGAAAAGAGCACCCCATAATAAAAAAAACAGAAAATCTCTTAAAAGTTTCAACTTTCAACAATGGAGAATTTCACAATCCCATGCAAATCAAGCCCTCCCACACCTATTCTACCCTCCAAACTTGGCAACCCATCTGAATTCTCACTAAGACACGCCAAACCCATAATCTCTTTCTCCAGGAAAACTCTCCCAAAATTCACAGACACTCATTTAAACTATCTCTGCAAGAATGGCCGGTTCAGCGAGGCCATCACGGTTCTTGACTCTATTGCCCAAATTGGGTCCAAGGTACCACCCACCACTTATATGAATTTACTTCAATCTTGTATTGACACCAATTCCATTCAGCTGGGTCGGAAGCTCCATGAGCATATTGATTTAGTTGAGGAAATAAACCCATTTGTTGAGACTAAGTTGGTGAGCATGTATGCCAAATGTGGGTTTTTGGATGATGCTCGTAAGGTGTTTCACGCAATGCGTGAGAGAAATTTGTACACTTGGTCAGCCATGATTGGTGCGTGTCTTAGAGACCAAAGGTGGAAAGAGGTTGTGGAGCTTTTTTTCTCGATGATGAAAGATGGAGTTTTGCCGGATTACTTTTTGTTCCCTAAGATATTGCAGGCTTGTGGGAATTGTTCCAATATCGAGGCCACGAAATTGATACATTCCATTGCGGTTCGGTGTAATTTGACTAGTTGTATTCATGTGAACAATTCAATATTAGCTGTGTACGCAAAGTGTGGAAATTTGGAGTGGGCAAGGAGGTTTTTTGACAACATGGATGAGAGGGATGGGGTGAGTTGGAATGCAATTATATCTGGTTATTGCCACAAGGGTGAGAGTGTAGAAGCTCGTAGACTGTTTGATGCGATGAGCAAAGAAGGGATTGAACCGGGTTTGGTAACGTGGAATACGTTAATTGCTAGTCATAACCAGTTACGGCATTGCGATGTTGCGATGGAACTGATGAGGAGGATGGAGAGCTGTGGGATAACTCCTGATGTATATACTTGGACTTCTATGATTTCAGGGTTTACTAAAAACAACAGGAAACACCAGTCACTGGATTTTTTTAAGAAGATGCTTTTAGCAGGGGTACAACCAAACGGGATTACAATTACTAGTGCAATCTCAGCATGCACATCTTTAAAATCACTGAACCAAGGGTTGGAAATCTATTCTCTTGCTATAAAGATGGGTTTCATTGATGACGTACTGGTTGGAAATTCACTCATTGACATGTTTTCAAAGTGTGGGGAAGTGGAAGCTGCTCAGAAGGTCTTCAGTATGATCCCAGAGAAAGATGTCTACACTTGGAACTCAATGATAGGAGGATATTGCCAAGCCAAGTATTGTGGTAAGGCGTATGAACTGTTCACGAAGATGCAGGAATCAGATGTACATCCCAATGCCGTGACCTGGAATGTGATGATCACAGGATACATGCAGAATGGAGATGCTGATCAAGCAATGGACCTCTTCCAAAGGATGGAAAAAGATGGGAAAATTAAACGAAATACGGCATCATGGAACTCTCTTGTCTCTGGCTACCTGCAACTTGGGGAAAAAAACAAGGCATTTGGGGTGTTCAGGCAGATGCAGGCCTACTGTGTTAATCCCAATTCAGTTACCATATTGAGTGTCCTACCTTCTTGTGCGAATTTAGTTGCCATGAAAAAGGTGAAAGAGATTCATGGTAGTGTATTGCGTAGAAATTTGGAGTCTGAAATCCCTGTTGCAAATTCCCTGATCGACACTTATGCCAAATCAGGAAACATAGCATATTCAAGAATCATATTTGATACAATGTCGTCCAAAGATACCATCACCTGGAACTCAGCAATTTCTGGTTATGTCTTACATGGTCGTTCAGATGTTGCACTTGATCTTTTTGATCAGATGAAGAAGTCGGGGTTTAAACCAAATAGAGGTACCTTTGCAAATATCATACATGCATACAGTCTGGCTGGAAAGGTAGATGAGGGAACACAAGCGTTCCACAGCATCACTGAAGACTATCAAATTATACCAGGTCTAGAACATTATTCAGCTATGGTAGATCTATATGGTCGTTCTGGTAGGCTTCAAGAAGCAATGGAGTTTATTGAAGGTATGCCCATAGAACCAGACTCCTCTGTTTGGGGTGCCTTATTTACAGCATGTAGGATTCATGGGAACCTTGCCTTGGCAGTTCGTGCAGGGGAGCATTTACTTGTCTCGGAACCAGGGAATGTTTTGATTCAACAGTTAATGTTACAGGCATATGCTTTATGTGGGAAGTCTGAGGATATATCAAAAGTGAGAAAGTTTGGAAGAGATTATCCAAAAAAGAAATTTCTTGGTCAGTGCTGGATTGAGGTCAAGAACTCACTGCATACGTTTATTTCAGGTGACAGATTGAAATTAAGCTCAATCTTTCTAAATTTGTGGTTACAAAACATAGAAGAAAAGGCAAAGACACCTGATTTTTCTAATGAGCTATGTGTTGAGGAAGAAGAGGAGGAAATTGGCTGGATCCACAGTGAAAAGCTTGCATTTGCTTTTGCCCTGAGTGGCTCTGCAAGTGTACCCCAAAGTATTAGGATTATGAAAAATCTGAGAACGTGTGGAGACTGCCATAGGATAGCGAAGTATATATCTGTGGCTTTTGGGTGTGATATATATTTGAGTGATGCGAAGTCCTTCCACCATTTTAGTAATGGCCGTTGTTCTTGTGGGGATTATTGGTAGATATGTCCTAGAGTGAAAACACAAAAGGCGGAAGTTGAAAGATCAGTTTTACCTCAAACAGGGCTTGTTCAAGGCACACAACTGCAGTCACAACACAAGCTAACATCATTTTGCAATTTTGACAAGGTTGAAGAGGGGATGATTGATCTCTATGGGATCGAATAACCATGAGGACGGCAACACTAGAGTCACATTCAACTTCAATCTGTCTACATCGTTCTGAGTCAAACATAGGCATTGGCGTAGCTTCATAGCTCTGTCTGCCCCAAGAACAGATCCAATGCCAAGGTTCAGAGAGGAGCGAGCCTTTGAACCACCCCACCTGCTCCAATGTGGCCAGGCTCGCCTCTGCAACTACCATGAATTGTAAGCTTAAACCAACATTGAGGAGGGGCAAGGCAATGAATCTGCCTGTAATGTCTTGTTAGCCTGACACCTGGAAAATGAGATTCTGAGGCCAAGGAGGGACTACAAACTCTGGCATAAACACAAATGTTGCAGCTCCATTTGCATTGGTTTTCCATAAAGTGGCAGCAAAAGTGAGAGACGAAGGAACTACTTGTAGGAACTGATATTTTAGTATTGAGATTGATTGTAGTATAAATATAACAAATGTATGAAATCCATCATAAAAGAGTGATGTGATTTGTTATTTAATCAACCTATCGTGTTTGTAAATATAGTCCTAATTCGGTGATGCATGGAGATGGAAATGCGCAAACACTTTTTCCCTGAGAAGCAGGACATGGCCCATGGGCTCTTAGTAGGCCCACCAGTTTTGGACAGTCGAGCTTAGGGCTGCTTTGTTAGTGGGCCAACATCTAATAATGGGATGAAAATTTGATAGGAGGTCCAAGAAAATTTGTGCTGATGTGAGTGATGAGGCAATATAATATATAATTGTTTGTGAGAGACTAAATAGAAAGAGGAGACGAGTGTTAGCTAGCTAGCTATATTATATGAATCGTGTTTCTGAAGGGTTGTGGTCATGAGCTCAATACTGGCTTAGCTTTACAACGAAGATAACTAGCAAAGGGCTAACTATAACATACGAAAAATATGAAGTGGTCACTTAATTTGGTAGAGCTAAAGTGAATTATTAATTAGAGTAGGTAATGAGATTCCTAAAATGGCAGAATTAGTAAAATTGTCATAATTAAATAAATGAAGGAAGATGATGCCAAAGAGGAAGAAGAATTGCCAATGAGGGTTGATTGAGTTGGTAAGGATTGTTCTCTTCGCTATCCATGCCTAGTTTCGAGTCCTGTTACCAGTGGCGGAGCCACAGTGGGGTCACATGACCTCTTGGAAGCCATGGAAATAGCTTAAAGGTCCCTTGGAGTTGCACACCAGGTGCTTGACGTTTTTCCTAAGGAAGAAAGGAGCTGCGAAAGGAAGAAGAAGCGCTGCTGTTTTTTTTTTATTTTTTTATAAACATCCTAGGCAAAACAACGTTGTTTTGACCCAGGAATTTTCATAAAAATGGCATGGCCCAACAACTCCCCCCAAAGTCCAAACCCACCCAATACCTCCATCCCATTGCTTTTAATCATACAACTTTACCAAATCTGAAAAATATTGACCAACGTTTAATATACACCTCTTCCCAACAACCCTTCATATTTCCCATTTCATTTGGTCGTCTTGTCCACTCTCTGGAGTGGAGAGTGGTCTTTCATGAGACAAAGATTTATGAAAAACATAAAAATACTTAAATAAATATAATAAAATATCATGTCTCTGTTCCATTCAACTCTTGATTGAGTTAGTAAGGATTATTCTCTTCGCTATCCAAGCCTAGTTTCGAGTCCTGCTACCAGTGGCGGAGCCATAGTGGAGTCAGTGGGGTCGCACAACCTCTTGGAAGCCATGGAAATAGCTTAAAGATCCCTTGGAGCTACATAAGGAAGAAGAAGTGCTGCTGTTTTGTTTTTTTTAAAACATCCTGGGCAAAACGATGTCATTTTGACCAAAGAATTTTCATTAGAATGGCACAGCCCAACAACTCCCCCAAAAGTCCAAACCCACCTAATACCACCATCCCATTGCTTTCGATCATACAACTTTACCAAATCTGGAAAGGTGATGCTACACTTATCACATTTTTATCCTACATTTCTATACTACATGATGTGGCATGTCCATATTATATGCCACATAAATTAAATCAATGAAGTGTGTTTTAATTAAGACAATTAGAAAAATAAATATTGGAATAAATTATAAAAGAAAAGAAAATATTAAATAATTTTAATTGATGTAGTTGTCTACCTCAGCTACCACATAAAAAGGTATAAGGATGTAGTATACAAATGTGATAAGAGTAGCATTATTCATCTAGAAAATATTGGTCAACGTTTAATATACACCTCTTCCTAACAACCCTTCATATTTCCCATTTCATTTGGTTGTCTTGTCCACTCTCTGGAGTGGAGAGTGGGCTTTCATGAGACAAAGATTTATGAAAAACATAAAAAATACTTGAATAAATGTACTAAAATACCATATCTCTGTTCCATTCAACTCAAACACTCAAATGGACGCCTAAAATCTCCAAATTATATTATTCTCTACCCTAAGTTCCCAACTAAATCTCCCCCCCCCCCCCCAAAAAAAAAACCTCAACATGCCTGAAAATTTGATTCTCTTCCCTCTCTATCTTTATAAATTTATTGTTATTGGTTTACTTAAACCTCTGTATGCCTAATATTTTTATTGGATAATGATTTATTGGAATGGACGAATATTGATGATTTTGTGTGTGGATGATTTATTGGATTGGATGACCATATATAATTATTTGATTTATTGGAATTTGGGGTTTATGATTAATTGCATGTCATCTCTCTGTTTGTTCATTTGTCTTAATAAAATTCGTTTCTTTTTATAACAAAAAATGGTTGACTGTTTGGTTTGAATAATTCATGTGTAGAATTATGGAACGATAAGAGGAAAGTAATAGAAAATTATCTTTTAGTGTTATTTTCATCTTTAAAAAAAATCAGAACTTTTACACTAAGATCCCTTGGGGTAACAATCCTTGATCCGTCAATCCCTATTGATGACTAATCTGTAAATAAATATAAATAAATAAATAAGGCTAAGATTCCCTCTACAAGTTTTCAAATAGGCTTTGATATTCCCTTGGTCCTGAGATGGGATAGCCTCCCTTCCAAAAAATTTCTGTGATTTGTCGGGAATTATGCTATTCCCATTTGATGCAAATTTTTCTGCTAGCGATGACCTATGTTATGGCACTTCTTGTGGGTAATTCCAGAACAAATACAATGACGTCAGATCAGACGCAACTAATAATTAAATTGGATCTGGCAATCTGCAAGCTCTGCTACTATATATATATAATCCCTGAATGATGACCAAGATTCTGTGCTAGATTTTATTCCTGTAGCTTAGCTTCTCTTTTGCATGGGGGAACGGAATTAAGCTAGCTGGGGCAGCACATTGATGCAAATTGCAATCACCCAATAAATCTTTATTATATTATATTAATATATATGTTATGTATCATGTATGCGGCTCACGAGGAGGTCACAGGCTCCATGTCCATGTTACAATGACCAAGATCCAAAACATATAGATAAAGCAATAACCTTTCAGTTTCAGAAGGTCACAGGCTCACAGAAATGAATGAACAGAGCCATTAATTTGGTTCAGTCCAATAATTTCAAAAGAAAGAAATAGGCTCGCTCAACAATGGGGTAAATATACTAATTACTGATTAAATGGGTACGTTTTGTTTGTTTTTCTGATACAGAAAAGGATTAAGTTTATGGGAATAATTATCTGTCTTGTTGGTTTCTCTCATAAGGAAATTACAACTAGTTTCGAAACACTAATAGTGCATTGAACACACGACTTTCGTTTCATTTCATGCACTAATTATTTGTGGCTCGATTTTATCTTGTTAGTGGAGAATCAGATCAAATCTTGATCGATCCTAGCGATGATCACCATCAAATCAAACTTTGAAGGCGATGCCATGCATGCATGCATTGATTCCAAACCAAAGCTATTTACTTTTCGTTTCTAAAATATTGTTTCGTTTCGTGTATATAGTTGCATCTAGACCTATTAATTACTGTTCGATTCGATGCGACTTTATTAATAATTATGCTCCTTGCTTTCTAGCTAGCTATATATATAGCTCTTTGTTGTGTATCACACAAAGGTGACCGGCCCACGAACCAATCAGCCGTGATGGGCGCCTTAATTATATTATAAATTGTTATTCTCATATGAAGTTATATTACGTAGTCATACAGTTACGTGATATATCTGATACGTGTGTTGCAACATAAATATGGTTGAAATAGCAATGGTATTTATATATAATAAATTCAACTCCAAGTAAATATTGATAGATAGGATAGGCCTCGCCCTCTCTACTTAAAGTCTTAACTCCAATTATTTAAAAAGGAAGAAGAAAACAAAGACGGACTGGACTATACTTATTTCTAAAAAGGACTACGTTTGCATGCATTGCATGGTGCTTGGCAGCTTGCTTATAAATAATTTATGTGAAGTGAAATTAATTGGAGAATGAACCAATAATGATAATGATAACAATAGGGAATGAGCTGTTCAAGTAATTAAAATCATCATCACGAATCATGATTTAAGACCCAAGTAAAGCACTTGTGACATCTTAGACACTCTTTTCTTTTTAAGAGCAAGGCTGCCTAGATCGATGAATCCCTCTCAGCTAGCTACCAGGTCATTAGGGGTCTAATATAATCTATGATTTAGGTCCTATAATTTAAATTATTAAGACAGAAGAGAGAATCTAATCTAGGGGAACAACTTGTGTCAGTTAGGAAAGAGGCTGCTATCTTATACACTAACACAAAAGTGATTGTGTTTGCTTTCTCGAGCAGCTTTGCCTGTAACGTGACACTTGTGTAGGTCCTTGTAGTCCATTGCTTTGCACTTTGAGGGAGAAAACTTTGTTTGTGAAAGATGGGTTTGAACTCAAAAGCAAGACAACATGAACGAATCCTAAAGCAAATAGACAAAATGACTTTTCTCCTTTTTCAGACGCACAAAAGATAAGAGAATCGAGAAGAGAGAGGCCCACTGATTTGTTTGTGCCAAACTTTTCTTGTTTTTGTTTTTTTTGATAAGAGCAATTACAGTTTTCAAATGAACTGCTAGCGTAGCTACCCTAATTACATCATTCTCACTGATTGATTGGGGCTTAATTATATTTTGATCCACATCATTGGATTTGGAGGAGTGAGGAGAGAAATGGATGGAATTAAGGGTAAACCCGATCTCATGCCATCCCATCTCATTGTCA